CCCCGGGTAAAAGCCTAGAGTTAGGATTAGGGTGTGTCCTGTAAGGTAGTGGTGGGTGGGACACAGGGCACATCCTAAGTTGCAAAAAAAAAAAAAAAGCAAAATACTTTTTAAAGTGTTTTTGCTTTACTATGAAATAAATTAAAACATGTGGCTGATTGGCCTTTATGTCTAATTGGTTCCTAGCTCGGGTGAAACACTCTGGGTGGAACTGACCAGCTACGGGCCCATTGCACAGTCTGTTATAGTGTGCATCCAAAGATCTTGCATCAATCAATTACTCAACTTTTTTAATAGCACCTTATTACAACTGGGGACTAAATGTACTTTACAGCATTAAAACAAAATTACAGATTAGTGAAGTAATTAGTGTCAATAAATCAACAGAACGATAACACAGCATTTTGCACTACTAAATATCAAAATCCTGACTGAACGACTATTAATGTTTGATAAAGACAATGTTGTTGTGCACTTTGGCCCTCTGGAATATATGGGACCGGCTGTCTGTTCACCCCAGGTAAAAGCCTAGAGTTAGGATTAGGGTGTGTCCTGTAAGGTAGTGGTGGGTGGGACACAGGGCACATCCTAAGTTGCAAAAAAAAAAAAGCAAAATACTTTTTTAAAGTGTTTTTGTTTTACTATGAAATAAATTAAAACATGTGGCTGATTGGCCTTTATGTCTAATTGGTTCCTAGCTCGGGTGAAACACTCTGGGTGGAACTGACCAGCTACGGGCCCATTGCACAGTCCGTTATAGTGTGCATCCAAAGATCTTGCATCAATCAATTAATCAACTTTTTAATAGCACCTTATTACAACTAAGGACTAAATGTACTTTACAGCATTAAAACAAAATTACAGATTAGTGAAGTAATTAGTGTCAATAAATCAACAGAACGATAAAGCATCATTTTGCACTACTAAATATCAAAATCCTGACTGAACAACTATCAATGTTTATTGAAGACAATGTTGTTGTGCACTTTGGCTTTCTGGAATATATGGGACTGGCTGTCTGTTCACCCCAGGTAAAAGCCTAGAGTTAGGATTAGGGTGTGTCCTGTAAGGTAGTGGTGGGTGGGACACAGGGCACATCCTAAGTTGCAAAAAAAAAAAAAAAAGCAAAATACTTTTAAAGTGTTTTTGCTTTAATGTGAAATAAAGTAAAACGTGGCTGATTGGCCTTTATGTCTAATTGGTTCCTAGCTTGGGTGAAACACTCTGGGTGGAACTGACCAGCTACAGGCCCATTGCACAGTCTGTTTTAAGCTGCGGTCACACTGGGCTTTTCCTCCCATAGACCTCCATTCATACGCACGCGAATGCGTCAGACCGGAAACGCAGGGTCATGTGTTAGGTTTCGCACGTTGTTGCGGTGCAAAGTTCAAACTTGGTGAACTCTGACCTGCGAAATCGCATCACTTGACTGATTGAGACCAACCGAGGATCAAAACATGACCTCTCTAGACAGAAATTTAAATCATGGAGCAATCGCCCATTTTTTTAATGCCTAATAATCTTGTTTAATCCCGCCCCTTTTCACATCGCCGAACGACAGAATTTCGCACACACAAACTCTAATGTGACCGCAGCTTAAGTGTGCATCTAGAGATCTTGCATCAACCAATTAATCAACATTTTTAATAGCACCTTATTACAACGTTAAACTCCCCAATGTACTTTACAGCATTAAAACAAAATTACCCATTAGTGAAGTATTAATAAGCAAATTTTTGATAGGATCACTTGCTTATGATTGACCATAGCTTGTCTCGTATAAACAATCACATGATCTACCAATCAGATGAATCCAAACACACAAATAAAGACACAGTCTAAACGAGTGTCAATAAATCAGCAGAACAATAAAACAGCATTTTGCACTACTAAATATCAAAATCCTGACTGTACGACTATCAATGTTTGATGAAGACAATGTTGTTGTGCTCTTTGGCCCTCTGGAATATATGGGACCGGCTGTCTGTTCACCCCAGGTAAAAGCCTAGAGTTAGGATTAGGGTGTGTCCTGTAAGGTAGTGGTGGGTGGGACACAGGGCACATCCTAAGTTGCAAAAAAAAAAAAAAGCAAAATACTTTTTAAAGTGTTTTTGCTTTACTATGAAATAAATTAAAACATGTGGCTGATTGGCCTTTATGTCTAATTGGTTCCTAGCTCGGGTGAAACACTCTGGGTGGAACTGACCAGCTACGGGCCCATTGCACAGTCTGTTATAGTGTGCATCCAGAGATCTTGCATCAATCAATTAATCAACTTTTTTAATAGCACCTTATTACAACTGGGGACTAAATGTACTTTACAGCATTAAAACAAAATTACAGATTAGTGAAGTAATTAGTGTCAATAAATCAACAGAACAATAAAACAGTATTTTGCACTACTAAATATCAAAATCCTGACTGGACAACTATCAATGTTTAATGAGGACACGGTTGTTGTGCACTTTGGCTTTCTGGATTATATGGTACCGGCTGTCTGTTCACCCCAGATAAAAGCCTAGAGTTAGGATTAGGGTGTGTCCTGTAAGGTAGTGGTGGGTGGGACACAGGGCACATCCTAAGTTGCAAAAAAAAAAGGAAAATACTTTTTAAAGTGTTTTTGCTTTACTATGAAATAAATTAAAACATGTGGCTGATTGGCCTTTATGTCTAATTGGTTCCTAGCTCGGGTGAAACACTCTGGGTGGAACTGACCAGCTACGGGCCCATTGCACAGTCCGTTATAGTGTGCATCCAGAGATCTTGCATCAATCAATTAATCAACCTTTTTAATAGCACCTTATTACAACTGGGGACTAAATGTACTTTACAGCATTAAAACAAAATTACAGATTAGTGAAGTAATTAGTGTCAATAAATCAACAGAACGATAAAGCATCATTTTGCACTACTAAATATCAAAATCCTGACTGGACAACTATCAATGTTTATTGAAGACAATGTTGTTGTGCACTTTGGCCCTCTGGAATATATGGGACCGGCTGTCTGTTCACCCCAGGTAAAAGCCTAGAGTTAGGATTAGGGTGTGTCCTGTAAGGTAGTGGTGGGTGGGACACAGGGCACATCCTAAGTTGCAAAAAAAAAAAAAAAAAGCAAAATACTTTTAAAGTCTTTTTGCTTTACTGTGAAATAAAGTAAAACGTGGCTGATTGGCCTTTATGTCTAATTGGTTCCTAGCTCAGGTGAAACACTCTGGGTGGAACTGACCAGCTACAGGCCCATTGCACAGTTTGTTTTAAGCTGCGGTCACACTGGGCTTTTCCTCCCATAGACTTCCATTCATACGCACGCGAATGCGTCAGACCGGAAACGCAGGGTCATGCGTTAAGTTTCGCACGTTGCTGCGGTGCAAAGTTCAAACTTGGTGAACTCTGACCTGCGAAATCGCATCACTTGACTGCGTGAGACCAACCGAGGATCAAAACATGACCTCTCTAGACAGAAATTTAAATCATGGAGCAATCGCCCATTTTTTTAATGCCTAATAATCTTGTTTAATCCCGCCCCTTTTCACATCGCCGAACGACAGAATTTCGCACACACAAACTCTAATGTGACCGCAGCTTAAGTGTGCATCTAGAGATCTTGCATCAACCAATTAATCAACATTTTTAATAGCACCTTATTACAACATTAAACTCCCCAATGTACTTTACAGCATTAAAACAAAATTACCCATTAGTGAAGTATTAATAAAGTAATTTTGATAGGATCACTTGCTTATGATTGACCATAGCTTGTCTCGTATTAACAATCACATGACCTACCAATCAGATGAATCCAAACACACAAATAAAGACACAGTCTAAACGAGTGTCAATAAATCAGCAGAACAATAAAACAGCATTTTGCACTACTAAATATCAAAATCCTGACTGAACGACTATCAATGTTTGATGAAGACAATGTTGTTGTGCTCTTTGGCCCTCTGGAATATATGGGACCGGCTGTCTGTTCACCCCAGGTAAAAGCCTAGAGTTAGGATTAGGGTGTGTCCTGTAAGGTAGTGGTGGGTGGGACACAGGGCACATCCTAAGTTGCAAAAAAAAAAAAAAGCAAAATACTTTTTAAAGTGTTTTTGCTTTACTATGAAATAAATTAAAACATGTGGCTGATTGGCCTTTATGTCTAATTGGTTCCTAGCTCAGGTGAAACACTCTGGGTGGAACTGACCAGCTACGGGCCCATTGCACAGTCTGTTATAGTGTGCATCCAGAGATCTTGCATCAATCAATTAATCAACTTTTTTAATAGCACCTTATTACAACTGGGGACTAAATGTACTTTACAGCATTAAAACAAAATTACAGATTAGTGAAGTAATTAGTGTCAATAAATCAACAGAACGATAAAGCATCATTTTGCACTACTAAATATCAAAATCCTGACTGAACGACTATCAATGTTTATTGAAGACAATGTTGTTGTGCTCTTTGGCTTTCTGGAATATATGGGACCGGCTGTCTGTTCACCCCAGGTAAAAACCTTGAGTTAGGATTAGGGTGTGTCCTGTAAGGTAGTGGTGGGTGGGACACAGGGCACATCCTAAGTTGCAAAAAAAAAAAAAAAAAAAAGCAAAATACTTTTAAAGTGTTTTTGCTTTAATGTGAAATAAAGTAAAACGTGGCTGATTGGCCTTTATGTCTAATTGGTTCCTAGCTCAGGTGAAACACTCTGGGTGGAACTGACCAGCTACAGGCCCATTGCACAGTCTGTTTTAAGCTGCGGTCACACTGGGCTTTTCATCCCATAGACTTCTATTCATACGCACGTGAATGCGTCAGACCGGAAACGCAGGGTCATGCGTTAGGTTTCGCACGTTGCTGCGGTGCAAAGTTCAAACTTGGTGAACTCTGACCTGCGAATCGCATCACTTGACTGCGTGAGACCAACCGAGGATCAAAACATGACCTCTCTGGACAGAAATTTAAATCATGGAGCAATCGATAATTTTTTTAATGCCTAATAATCTTGTTTAATCCCGCCCCTTTTCACAGCCCCTCACAACAGAATTACGCACACACAAACTCTAATGTGACCGCAGCTTAAGTGTGCATCTAGAGATCTTGCATCAACCAATTAATCAACGTTTTTAATAGAACCTTATAACAACGGTGAACTCCCCAATGTACTTTACAACATTAAAACAAAATTACCCATTAGTGAAGTATTAATAAGGTAATTTTGATAGGATCACTTGCTTATGATTGACCATAGCTTGTCTCGTATTAACAATCACATGACCTACCAATCAGATGAATCCAAACACACAAATAAAGACACAGTCTAAACGAGTGTCAATAAATCAACAAAACAATAAAACAGCATTTTGCACTACTAAATATCAAAATCCTGACTGGACGACTATCAATGTTTGATGAGGACACGGTTGTTGTGCACTTTGGCTTTCTGGAATATATGGGACCGGCTGTCTGTTCACCCCAGGTAAAAGCCTAGAGTTAGGATTAGGGTGTGTCCTGTAAGGTAGTGGTGGGTGGGACACAGGGCACATCCTAAGTTGCAAAAAAAAAAAAAAGCAAAATACTTTTTGAAGTTTTTTTGCTTTACTATGCATTAAATTAAAAACGTGGCTGATTGGCCTTTATGTCTAATTGGTTCCTAGCTCGGGTGAAACACTCTGGGTGGAACTGACCAGCTACGGGCCCATTGCACAGTCCGCTATAGTGTGCCTCCAGAGATCTTGCATCAATCATACAATCAAATTTTTTTGATTGTATTCTGCTGTATCGCCTCATTACAGCTAACGTGATCCCGCCTCTCGGTGAGCGCACTGTTTATATGGAAATGAACTGAGGTGAGTCGGCTAATATTGCACTCGCCACCCGAGACATGGCATCAAACAACAAGCTTCATCATAGAGTTACTTACTTTTTCTGCGCTTTAGATTGACGGCACGCTACATGAGTGAAGAAGCACTTCGGATGGTACTGGACAGCGACGGATAATTTACTTTCTCCTCAGAAGAAGAGTGCGACTGATGACCAACGCAAACATTTTGAAGAATGTTTAGACCCAGCAGAGGATAAAATCCCTGTGGAGTAAGTCTTTTATTCTTACCTTCATGATTTACATGAAATATGTCCTTACAGGCTAATTATAGTTTCATTGCTGTACAAAGTGTATCCTATAACTTTTATAGAGTATAATGATAAACATAGGCCTATATAATAAGATGTTATGTTATATGAAATATGCTAAGCTGTTGTGAACAAGAAATACTGACAGTTGTTTACAAAACAGCTGCTGTTCAGTTGATAATTCATATGTGGTAACTGAGTTTATTAGGTAAATTAGTTCTATTATCAGTGAACATCAAAAAATTGTTAACAATGTAGTTTATGTAATCAGCTTGCTTATTTTTTCCAGATGTGAAAACAACAGCGGTAAAGGACCAGTGGCAAAGAAAGCGAAAGCAATGAAGTTGCCCACTCAGTCATGGAAAACAGAGACTGATGCTGCATGACTCCACAGGCTCTGAGATTCCTTCCTGTACATGAACCTGGACAACAGCTAAGACCATGTGATGCTCATTTCAAAATGCTTTTTTTGTTTCAAATCAAATAATTTGTCAATAAACCCATTTCATCAATTATAAATGAATAGCAATGTTTTTTGCATGTGTTGGTGCACACACAAGAAATACACGTACGCCAGACATGAAGTTGGTGCTGACCAACGCACATTTTCACGTTAATTTTATCATTAGTAAATCCAAACGTGAGCATGAAATCTGGCGTACACAAAGTTTTTATGTGTATGCAGCGTTAATACATGAGGCCCCCGCATATTAACTGTCAAAACTTGTTCATGACTGCATAAATGTATTATTCCTTTATGAAAAAGTCACATATTGTGCGTGTCTATTATCATGCACATTAGCCGCATTTCCACTGTTGGGCCAGTGCGAGCCTGGGCTTTTATCAGGCCAGACCAATTTCCCGGAAGGTTGAGTAGTGAGGCAGAAATCATGTCGCCTTTCCCCTGTTGGGCTAGTAGCTCGCAGCGCATCATGCAAACGCCACCCCAGAATGTCCCCCGAATCAAGCGTCACACAACCTGCCAACTTAAACAGAAATCAGGCAGAGAAAGCACAAGCGAAACAAATGACACATTACTGTACAGCATACGTTATTTGTCTATACGCACAGGCCTGTGTGTTTCCATTCATTATATTTGTTTACTCGCTGACCGACTGTTGGCATCGTCCATCGAGTGGTCTCGCCACTAACAGAGGGACCCAGCGCAGTGAGCGCACCCATCCATAATATAAAACCACAGAAATTCTCTCGTAATATCCTTGCTTTGAAAGACGTTGTCAAACATTCAGCCCAAATGCTGAAATGAGAGACCTAAAATATATACATTTTTTCCTAAACTATATGACACTTAATAGGTGATTCCTATTCCTAGTCAGTATGCTTGGGCATTTTGTTTGAATGGGGAAACATTCAATTCTCCTAAACTACTTGCCAAGCTTACGAATACATTTCATATTAAGAATAACCAATAAAATTAAACAACAACTGTCTATTTAGTTATTTCTAAATGTTCGTATCACAAAATCTGTAGAAACTCACATCTGGTCCGAGCCCATCCTCCTGAGAATTGTCATTTTATATCAATCGCTGATTGGCTCCTGTACTAGAATGCGGGGCTTTATTCGCCATATTGCCAGTTACACCTTTCCCCATTCAAAAGTATACGAAAGACATGTCTTGTATATTCTGTAGTGTTTGGTAATCCACATACGAAGAACAGACCCCTGAGCGAGTGAGTGTTTGTGCTGATGTAGAATTCACTGTTGTCGGCAATATTTAGATTAGTTATCGTTACATGTAATATTAATACATCTAAATAAAAATAATTCATTTGTTTTATCTGTTTATTTGTACAGTTGATAAAATAAGTCCCTATATTAATCTGGGGTTGCCACATCTGAATGAACCACCAACTTATCCAGCATATGTTTTAAGCAGCGAATGCCCTTCCAGCTGCAACCCATCTCTGGATAATATCCATACACACTCATTCACGCTCGTACACTACGGACAATTTTAGCCTACACAATTCACCTGCACTGCATGTCTTTGGATTGTGGGGGAAACTGGAGCACCCTGAGGACACCCACGCGAACAGGGGGAGAACATGCAAACTTCACACAGAAACGGCAACAGACCCAGCCGAGGCTCGAACCAGTGACCTTCTTGCTGTGAGGCGACAGCACTACCTACTATATATATATATATATATATATATATATATATATATATATATATATATATATATATATATATATATATATATATATATATATATATATATACTTTTTAATAGGATTTGTTTGATTTATGATTTATATATGATATGATTTGATTTATGATTTGTTTGATTTATGATTTAATTTATATATATGATTTAATTTATATATATGATTTGTTTAATTTATTCATATGATTTGATTTGTATATATGATTTGTTTGATTTATATAGATGTCCTTTATTAAAATTAAACATATATTTTAAGGTAAAAGATCAAATAAAATGCAAATTTCCCGCTTCAAATTTTTGACATCATGTAAAACAACCGGGTTAAAGCACTAATGTAAACAAAGATGAAAATTACTCTTGGGTGGCCTACAGTAAGTAACACAACAACACAAGGAGTGTGTGTGTGTGTGTGTGTGTGTGTGTGTGTGTGTGTGTGTGTGTATGCATGTATATATATATATATATATATATATATATATATATATATATATATATATATATATATATATATATATATATATATATACAGTTGAAGTCAGAATTATTAGCCCCTTTTGAATTTTTGTTTTTTAATATTTCCCAAAGGACAGAGCAAGGAAATATATATATATATATATATATATATATATATATATATATATATATATATATATTAAATTCTATCTTTTAAAATAAAATAAATCAATCAATCAAAATCAATTAGCTTAAAGGATTTAGAGGATTAGCGTCTTGATAATCCCACCTCTAATTGGAATCATTCAAAAACTTCTATCAAACTGTCATATTCAGAGATTTTGTTTATTACTCTCTTTCTCCCCATGATGTCACCATTTCCCCAGTGTTTCTGTTTGGCTTCATTTGTGTTAATCTTGTTCAGCTGTGTCTTTAGACAAGCCTATTTCCCCTCTTCGTTGGTTGTCACTTGGTTTTTGAGTTTGATGTGATGTCACCCTTACTATAAGTTCTCTACCCAGATTCTCTAGGTATTATCGTTCTTTGTTTTGTATTTTTTGGCTGAAGTATTCTTTGTTCTACTTAGAACTTCATGTTTTCATTTTCTTGGCTGTTGTCAGTCTTGTGGACTTGTTTTTGACGCACTGTTGGACTTTCTGAATTAATGCCTTTTTTGACCTAGACTTTGTACCTTTAAACATTGGTCTACTCTACCACACCTGAGGACGGAGTTTGAGGTTCTTTTGGTGTGGACGCTGATCTATAAACATAACTTTTTCTCCTCTCTGGTGCTACATATAGAGCAATAGAAATATTTTAATTAAAAATCTTTATTTTACAATCTGGTTTAATAATGTAAAGTCTGCTGCTGAGATGCAAAGAATTCCTCACAAATCCAGAGACTCCTAAAGAGTGTGCGATGACTTGTATTGGTGCTATTTCTTCTGTATTATACATTCTTTAAAAAAAATTGTCTAAAAGGGTTGAGTTTATTTTCTTAATGAGTTATAGGTGTGTTTTGAGAATAAACCAATTAGAGTCTCATCTCCCATTCCCTTTAAGAGCCAGCTGCATCGCGCCAAGAGCGCATTTTGACGTAAAGTAAGTTCACTTTCACTTTTGCTCTCGTAGATATAGGGAAACCTTTATGCACAGACATCAATTAGTCTATAAATAATTAATTTAGTTTGTTAAGCGCAAAGATTTGTTTCAAAACTATTTCTAAATTCAGTTCTAATTTCCAGCAAACGAATAAATGAACAATAATAACCAAGTGTGCTCAAAATACTGAGCTATTTCCAAATACACCTGCCATGCCCCATATGGTTTAAAATTTGACAGGTGGACAAATCTAAGCTTGTTTTTAATAAAGCAAATATAAATATGGATATAATAAATAATACTGCTAATAATAATAACATTATGCAAAAGCAAATAGAATGAACTGAAAAAGCCTCCAGAGATGAATAAAGTAAGGCAGGGGTTTTTAAATCTTCATGTAGGCTAGAAATTAATATGTTTTGTAATATTTTAATAATTTAATTTATATTTATATCCTGTATATATCCTTATTATATATATATATATATATATATATATATATATATATATATATATATATATATATATATATATATAATATCCCTAAGATATTATATATTTTTCATATGTAAAGATATTTGTGTATTGCTCTGCATCTTGTGTGTTGTGTGTAAGCCAGGCGCACTTTGTGCCAGACAATAGACCGACTTTGTTCTGGTCTAAAGATCAGACTACAGTTTCTCAAAATAGCAACGTGCCGAAACACGCCTGCTTTTTTTAGACCAGAACGCCTATGGGCGCACATTTGAACGCAAATGCATTTGCTATTTAAACAGTGTGGCGCAACACCTCAAAATGACCCTTGCGCTGAGCTAAAAGTACCAAAAGACTATTGCGCCGCGCCTTGCGCCACATTGTGCCGGGTGTATGATAGAGCCCAAAGGCTCTGTTCCTCAAATACTGTCTCTACCCCTCTTGCTTTCTATTTTTGATAATTAAAACTTCAAAAATATATGTCCATGCAGCAGAAGTTTTTCCTTTCTAATAAGGTAAAGGAAATATCTTTAGAAATTATGTAACCTTTTCCCTGTCAAAAACTTCTTAAAAGATTTTTATAATCATGTTGAAACTCTTCCACACTAATTTTGATTATGCACCTATGTGTCCCAGTTTTGGCAAGATGTTTTATTGCAAAACTTGGCGATTTTTATTCCTCAAATGTTATGGAATTTTTTGTTCTATGAATCCACAAAGTTATTATTATTATTATTATTATTATTATTATTATTATTATTATTAATAATGGTTGCTTTAGAACAAACCTTTAATTTTATGTAGATTTTTTATTATTGGGAAATCAAATTTTTCAAATTGCAACTTTCAGCTGTGAAATTTAAGCCACACTAAACTGAACTCCAACTCTGAAATCTGGACTATACTATACAATAGTAAATAGTTAAAGTTACCATAACTGCTTTGACACAATCTGTATTGTGAAAAGCGCTACATAAATAAGCATGAATTGAATTCCAGATTCATCTAAAAAGCACTAAAAACGTATACAATTTGCTCAACCTTAGATATGTTTTTATTTTCCCCTCTTCACTCTCAATTTATTTATTATATATATATCCTTAGATCAGATAACCTATTGATATTTCTTTGTTTTAATTTATTTTGTTTTTTAGTCGCACCATAGTAAAATAATATGCTTATTATTGTAAATGGCGTGTATCAACGTATCTGTTATACAATACATGTTCAAAAAAGAGATGGTAGTGGCACATAATAATGCTATTTATATTTCAGACCGGTTGCAGCAGCTCTGAAACCCTCTAGCGGCCGTTTCGCTTCACTGCGTCTCAGCATTGAAAGGTCTGTGCGTCCTTCACATCATCACTCGGAATAACCTTTGCATTGCAATATTTGAAAGAAATTAGCTTAATCGATGGTTCACATCTTTGCGCATCTCCCGCGAGTTAAAGCGATGTGAATCACCCTAAAATGGTTTGCCGACCGGCTGGATGCTGAGATCATGATGAGGTCAGTATAGAGGAGGGGTGCAGACGGTCGCCATCAGTGTGTTTCTATAGCAAGGAGAAAGAGGGAGGAAGCTTCTGTCCATTTGCACTTTGATAGCGGAGAATGGCGTTTTCATGTCGACTGTGTTCGCCTGTCATCATGCCTCGTCTCTGAATGCGGTTGTGTGTGTATTTGTGGCGTAAGGGAGGGGTCCAGTGGAATGGAGCAGAGTTTCATGCAGTCCGCGATGGCTTTGGGTGCACAGTCCAAGAAAGGCTTCTCCAGGAGCATCGCAGTGGAGAGGAAAAACCTGATCACGGTTTGTAGGTGAGTGAGAGGGCTTTCAGATGCACAGAGTGAGTGTGTATGTGTGTGTTGCGATGTTGACGGCCTTCAGAATCATAAACATGGATGCGGTCACTATAATGACAAAGATCATTCGCAGCTTCATTCGTTGCCTTCAGTTAGAAAATGCTGACATCAAAAGTAAATTGTTTAATCGTGATCTTAAATTTAACAGATGTGTTTTGTGATTGTGAGGTCTATGATAAACAGAGACAACTACGTGTAACGTTACGGCCAAACGCTAAAATAATTACCGCAGTCTTTGTTTTTAGGATTCTGCGTACATTGTCAGTCGTTAAAAGTGTAAGATTATATGTTAATGGACACGAAATTATCCTTGAAACCGGACATTGCACGCGATTTGATTTATGTCTGTTCCCCGGATGATGTCGTTGCTATGACGACAACCTTCCTCCTGCAAGGGCAGCAGCAGGGCTGACTTGAGGCACCTGCTGAGCAGCACACAAAACGGGAATCATGAATAAAACGATGGTTTAAGATATAAAAATTCTAATAAAAATCATTGATGGGGTTGGTTTAGTCAAAATTCCGAGATTCTTTCTTCTGTTCAACAAAAGAAAACACTTAGAAGAATTTTGAAATAGGGGAGAGCGGGGCACAAAGTAACACAGTTTGGATGTGGCCAAATAATGAACAAAGTGAGAAACACAGAGCTTTCCTACAAATGAGCACTGATTGCATGATTGTTGGATCTATGGTTTCTGTGCAGTACTGCCAACCAGGAGTAAAACTATTACTATTTATCCCACCTGCATGGGGCAAGTTGTAAAAGACGTACAGAGGGTTAGTTGTGACATGCTTTACATTGCACTTAAATCCAGTTTACTTCAAATAGTATATTTCCTCTTATTTTTTTTTATTCATAGCACAGCATGTTTATTTATGTGTTGGATAAACACATTTGGATTTATTTGCATTATTATCCATTATTATACAATGCATTTATTTTCATTAGCAATACAATTTTTTTTTCAATTAAAATAAAAAATATATATAATTATGTAAATTCTCAATATTACATTCAATTCAAAAATAATTTTGTTAGTTTAATTGGTGTTCAACTGTGTGTGGCTTATTTGTAACACCCTGTTACAACTAACCCTGTGTTTTTCTCTAAACTGGCTTGCAGTCATGTGTGTTTTTTTGTTTACATCTTTTGAAATGGTTCCATCTTTTGAGCCTAGAAGACGGTTTTACTTGGATACTTTCACAGTTTTTTTTGTTTAAATATAGAGTATTAAAAAATACTTTTATGCTGCAAAATGGTTTCTCCTGTTTCTCATCCAAATTTCGCAGAACTTTTTCAATAATTGGCAGGAAGATGTCTGCCGACACTGTGGTGAAAACCTCAGAATTATGCCATGGTTAACCCTGAGCAAATACCTTAAAACTCTTTGTTACATTTTACCCCACATTACTTTGTGCCCCGCGCTCCCCTATTCATCATGAATATTTTGTTTTGTGTTCAATAGAGGACAGATTTATTGCCTGTTGTTAAAGGTACAGTTTGGTACATATTATGTCTGTTTCCACTGTCAGTACCATGAGTGTGAGTAAATAAGGAATTGTATTTTAGGTGAATTATCCCTGCATTACATTTATGAAAACTTTCTGTTCCACAAAAAAAGGCTCTTTACACTTAGAACAAAATGGCTCTTTGGAAAGCAGAACTGTTTACTGTCCTCCAAAATGGTTCTTCTATGGCATCACAGAGAAAAAACCCTTTCTACATCATTTATTTTCAGAAGTGTATGTGCTAACATTTTAGTACAGAGGTGCCCAAAGTAGGGTCCGCAGGTCAAAATTGGCCCATTGTAAGCTTTGATTTGGCTTAACATCCCATCTGAGAAGAGAGTGAGTATGATGGAGAGGGTTGAGGCGAATGACTAAAACAGAAATTTAGTTTGACATAGTCGGGCTGATATGCCCCATAATTCCGATAAGTAGCTCAAACTGTCTGTCAGCAAATGCAGATTTGAGCTACTGCGCACCTGTTTGTACGCAGCTCTGCCGTTTGTGCATAAACGTGCCGCACGTTCATGTGAGTGTGTGTGAAAAAGAGAGAGAGAGCGGTAAAAATGTGTTGAGTAAAAACTTTTTCAAATCCTAAATCAATATTGGAGTTACTTTTGCGCACTGGAGGAAGGACGACACCATGGCTGAAGTATTTCTGTTAGGCAGGTAATGTTGTGTTCTAAAACTATTTTAGTCACGCAGAGCTGATGTAGATTTGGTTGTTATAAATAGGTGATATGCACAGAAGTGTTGTTCAGCCACTGAAATCTTGCAGGAATAGATTGATGTGGCTATTTTCAGTTTCATAAGGTCCTTTTACAGCATCTATAATGTAGATTTATATTTAGTTTAACAACACAGCATCAGTAAATAGCGCTATTCTGCCTAGCCTGCTATACTGAGCTAAAGTTGCCTTTATATTCATTGGATCATTTTTGAACAATGACGTCCTGTGACGCACTCGCTATATTGTTTACCACCACTCTGAATATTGGGTCAGAACTAGCATGTAAGTATGGCTTATGCCGAGTTCAGACTGCATGATTTTCAAAGTAGTATTGTCACAGATGTTTTCACACTGCTTGACAATCTGGGCTAGCATTTCGTCGCTGCTTTGTTTACACTGCGAGATGAATCGGCGACAGGGGTTTTCACATTGCATGACTTTACTATAGGAAGAATTGCTGACAATTTCGTCCAAACTACGTCTCACAGCCAAAAACACGTAGTATATCTTTTGTTATTAACTACATAATGAGAAAGAAGCCTTTAATGGGGTAGAAAATGTACATGTTTGCTCTCCTGGGTTTAAAGGGAATTAGCCATTTCTCCTCAACGTTGATAATAAACTAAATTCTTTGTGTATGAAACGTCAAACAGACACGGTTGCTCTAGAGTTCAACAACCTCCACTAGTATTTCCTCCATTTCGTGGGTCCAAATTAACCTAAAAAGAGCTTCTTCTCCCCCAGCCTCCCGCTAGCCTGCAGCAGGTATACACACATGCACACACACAAGTGAATGCCGCTCTCTCATTGGCTGTGGGCGATCACTGATGTTATAGTTATTCAAAACTCAATTCACACGGCATGATTTGAATCGCCAACAGCTCCAGATATTTAGCACGCAAAATATCTCACAGGCATCTGCAACTCATCGGCGATTCTCTCAGATCACGTCTTTGAAAGTTCATACTGTGTGATTGTCACTCACGTGCACGAGCACCGATTTGCCTGTGCTTTCAGGCATTTGTCGGCGATTTTCTCAAAACCTGTCGGCGAGCCAAAATCGGGGCTAAAATCACGCAGTCTAAACTAGGCATTAGTAATGAGTGTAATTCCTGCACATCGCTGGCCAAGCTTTAGCTCAACACATGAGAGACGGTTCTGCTGTCATCTTTAAGGTGCGCGTGCTCATGTTTAAAGAGACATGGCTTTGGACGGCAGGAGAGGGACTGTGTTTCAGAGATTTATGCTAACAGGTTAGCATTGTGGCTGATCACCTACTGCACCTTTAATTAACCCTGAAAAAGTCAAAGCAAAGCAAACACTAGCAGATTACTATGGTATAAATACAGCACTACAACATACAAAAGAGAGAGATTGATTTAGAAAGCCCCTTACCACTTTTAAGTTTGATCAGCTGTAGTTTGAAATACTGAGTTTTACTTAATTTACGATCTCTGTCGCCATTTTGTAGTGTAACTGTCTTTGCCCTGCTCAGCATGACAGGATGATGGCCGCCAACACGCTGAATCTTCGAAATTATAAATATTTAAAATAGGCACTGGCTTTTATAAATAAACTGCATAGTTGCAATCTAAATACTTACATTCTTGTCTAAAAAGCTTTAAAAGTACATTATGTTGTCCAACAGCTGCAATATTTGTCAAATTGTAGTGAGTCTATTGATCTGCTGCCAATCAGATTCAAGAACCAGACAAAACTGTTGTATATACTGCTGTACACTGTATACTGCTTAACCTTGGTTTAACCAGGATGCTGTTGTAAAAGAGATTCTTAATCTCAGTGTGCTTTTTCCTTGTAAAGTAAAGGCTAGAATCATAATAATAAAATAATGATACATACTATAGTAGTTATAGTGGAATGAAGGTTTTTCTTTCTGGTTGCTGTCTGTCAGGTCAAACTTTGCCTATTGTGCTGCAGTGGAGGGCTGTACTGAAAGAGTCATTGTTGGGATCTGAACAATTGATAGTGGAGTCACTGCTGTTTTTAGCATTAACAGGAAAAACAAATATGACTTTCATTTTATACATTTAAATGAAATAATATTATGTATATTACTAAAACACACAATTTACTACTAAAATGGCTTTAGTTATGTTATTTATATTAATATAATAACCATTTAATTATTTAGAAACCACACTAAAAATGCTGGGTTCAGCTCTAGTATTCTCACAACCATAAACGGGATAGAATTAACTCATTAACTCAAGAAATACTGTTAAATGAATAATTAAGTAGACATAAAGTAAACCACACTAATTGGTTATGTACCCTAAAGTTGAGTACATTGCAGTTAAAGTATACCTATGACCCATCTGTGGATGAATTACAGAAGGTAGCTAAATAGAAAATGTTCAGTCATTTATCAGAAAGATTCATTTAGTGCATCGATCCATACGGTTCAAGGGAACATCGCATTAGTCATCATATCATCACATCATTGGCTATTAACTTACCATTGCTTCTCGCAACAGGTTTTTAAAGTATAGACTGGGGTATACTGAAGATACTTTTCTGAATTTGAAATGGTTTCTGTTAAATGCGTGGATAAAATTTGGATAAAATTAAAGACAAAGTTTGCAGTAATGCCTTACCTACAGCATTCAGGTAATACCTCATAAAAATCAAGTTATCTCATGTAAGAAAGAATTGTACTTAAGTGTTGTTTATTTCAATTTAAAGTATCAGTCACTCAAGGGTATTTAAATTAAGCACACTATTAAAGACTTTATACAGTTAGTACACTTTAAAAAGTTTCAAATTGTAAACGATTTGGGGTGACAACAAATGCTTTGTTATAGCTATTGTCTAAGGGCTGTTATAATTGTAAATATATTTAAAATATATTGTAACTTTAAAAGGCCACTTTATTAGGTACACCTGTCCAACTGCTCGTTTATGCAAATTTCTAATCAGCCATTTGGGCATGTAGACGTGGTCAAGACGATCTGCTGCAGTTCAAATCGAGCATCAGAATGGAGAAGAAAGGTGATTTAAGTGACTTTGAACATGGCATGGTTGTTGGGGACAGATGGGCTGGTCTGAGTATTTCAGAAACTGCTGATCTACTGGGATTTTTCGGCACAACCATCCAGGGAGCGGCAGTTCTGTGGGCACAAATGCCTTGTTGATGCCAGAAGTCAGAGGAGAATGGCCAGACTGGTTTAAGCTAATAGAAAGGCAACAGTTACTCAAATAACCACTTGATACAACCGAGATATGCAGAAGAGCATCTCTGAACACACAACATGCCCAATCTTGAGGCAGATGGGCTACAGCAGCAGAAGATGGTAGGGTCAGAATTTGGCATCAACATGAAAGCATGGATCCATCCTGCCTTGTATCAATGATTCAGGCTTTTGGTGGTGGTGGTGTAATGCTGTGGGGGAAATTTTCTTGCCACACTTTGGGCCCATTAGTTCCAATTGAGCATCGTTTCAACGCCACAACCTACCTGAGTATTGTTGCTGATCATGTCTATCCCTTTATGACCACAGTGTATCCATCTTTTGATGGCTACTTGCAGCAGGATAATGCACCATGTCATCAGGATAAGCATACTTTGTACTCAAATGGCCTCCACTGTCACCAGAGCTCAATCCAATAGAGCACCTTTGGGATGTGGTGGAATGGGAGATTCAATTCAAGGATGTGGAGCCAACCAAAAGGACTAAAGCAGTTCTTAATTTAAAAGAGGGTCCAACCAGGTACTAGTAAGGTGTACCTAATAAAGTGGCCGGTAAGTGCTTATTTACATGTATTATATGCAAGCGTTGCTAAAAGTTACTCTTCAGTACATTTGGCAATACTCCAAACCATATTACAAAGACAACAAGACATAATTATGAAATGACTCCTTTAGATCAACAGTACATACTGTAAATTCTACTTAAGTGGAACAGAGTAGAAAATTATAATTAAACTACTTGAATGTCATGTAATTTTAAGCACCAATAGATTTAAATGCACTATGGATAATATGCAGTTGTGTGTAAAAAACAACTTAAATTGAGTTCATGAGATAAGTAATCTTTTTTGTATGTAATTATGTGTTATTCTTCATATGATAATTCAGTCATGTTCCATAACACCAACATAAACTTTGTGAAAGATCTTTTTAAAGAAGATTTGAGTGAACAAACAGGGAAAAAAAACAAGTACTGTGGATTCCGAAGCAAAAAACCTACTTGTAATTTCTGCTATTTTTGCTCGTATTTCAGGTTTTCTGTGAAGACACTGTTGGAAAAGTACACTGCAGAGCCAATTGATGACTCTTCTGAAGAGTTCATTAACTTTGCTGCTATTCTAGAGCACATCCTCAGCCACCGTTTTAAAGGTAAAAAAAAAGGCTACTAATTCACAAATTCGCCTGTATTGCTTAAAGTTAAGAAAATATTTAAGCTTGTAATCTCCCACATCTTTTTTTTTTGCAGGCTCTGGCAGCTGGTTTGATGGCCAGCGCAGTTTTTGGGATTTCATCCGCCTGGCCTGCAGTAAAGTGCCCAATAACTGCATCAGCAGCATTGAGAACATGGAGAACATCAACTCCTCACGAGCAAAGGTGGGTGGGCAAATATCTGTACCCTTTTTTTTTTTTTTGTGTTTGGAAGAACTTCTACAATGTGTTTATATCTTACATCAGGGGTGTCCAAAAGGGCCGGTGTCCTGCAGATTTTAGCTCCAACTTGCCTCAACACACCTGCAAGAGTCTTTCTAGATAGCCTTGTAAGAGTTGATTAGGTAGCTCTGGTGTGTCTGATTGTGGTTGGAACTAGGCTTGGGCGGTATCCAAATTTTGATACCATCAAACCTCCTCTCTATTTTACCTTGGTATCCGGTATAACTGTGCATAATAAAAAAAATTATGACATAAGGCTCAGACCGCGTCACCAAAATGTTGGCTTGTGCCTAAACCATTCAGAAACTGAATACCGTATATGCGACCTTAGGTTCGCGGACACCTGTTTGTCTTGTTTGTATTACGCTCTGTCTCATTCACACACACACACACACACACACACACACACACACACACACACACACACACACAGAGAGAGAGAGACAGTACCAAGTGACACATACCACCACACACTCTCTCTCTCTCTCTCTCTCTCTCTCTAATTCACACACAGACACACACATGCTCGGGAGCGATATTGTTAGACCGCTCGCCCGTTCCCTTTTTAAATTACACCAGCTTCCAAGCTTTATTCGGAAATTTATTCCCGCACTGCAAGAAATCTGGTTGGGTCCCGCGGAATGCAGACCTCTAGTTCGTATTTACCACATCCCCCTTCTCGTTTGTTCGAAACCGGAAATACTGCCAAACTGCAGGTCACTTGGTGCAAGACTCGCCATCTTACCTTACCTCTCTCTCTCTCTGCTCCACACTGTCCCGTGATGACAATCACGCATACACATATATATTATATTTGTCTCCTATTTAAGTGCATTGTTTTTTTATGACGGTATAACGGTATTGAAATTGACACCGTTGCTTTTTTTAGATCCCACGGTATACCAACTAGGCTTGGGCGGTAATACGGTAATATGGAACTAAACTTTGCAGGACACCGGCCCTCCAGGACTGGGTTTAGACTCCCCTGTCTTACATCCAAGATTTAAGGGTTAGTTCACCCCAAAATGAAAATTTTGCTATTAATTTCTCATGTCATTCCTTCCCTCCTTTATCTTTTGATCTCAAATTAAGATGCTCCCTGATGCTCCCTCCACAGACAGCAATTGGTCCAGAGATGTTCGGAAAAGTCCAGAAAAGTAACCAGAAATGCTTTCAAAATATTCAGTGACTTCAGTGGTTTAATTGTAATCATATGAAGCTTCAAGAACAATTTTGTGCAATATAAAAATGACTTTTTTGCCTATGTTTTTTCTCACAAGTCAGGTCAGGGTGTGCATTTACTATGGGGAGTACAACATATTACCATTAGATTCAGCAGTGCAACACACAAATGTTGAATTGCCCATGGTTAGCACAAACCATGACCTGACAAAGAATATTTTCATCTGTGTGCTGAAGATAAATGAAGGTCTCAGGTTATTGGAACGACAAGTAATTAATAACTTAATTTTCACTAACTAATCCTGAAAGAGTTTGTTTAATGATCTAGTTTCTTTAACTCATCCTTTCCAAGAATCTTGTCTGCTCTGGTCAGAAAGACGAGTTTGCTGTAAGTGGTCAACAGTGTACAGTGTGTCAGAAACCAACCACTTATTACCATATCTGAATTTCCACTCCTTAAATTCTAGTTCACACAACATTTAGACTTGACGTGATCTTGTCTTTAAATCACCGTGGTGATACACAATACATAAAACACTACATAAATGATCCACAAGAGTGGCGTGGGGGTAGTTCACACAACTAAATGATCTGACAACAACTAGTGATGGGTCGTTCTTGAACAAACATATGACTCGAGAACGATGAGTCCTCTCAGGGAGTGAGTCGTTTATTCATGCATGCGCACATTTGTGCAGGTGGAGCAGAAGATTAGTTCCTTTTTCAAGTCTTATATTGGGTTTGAGTTGTTTGTTCATCATGTGAAAGACAGAAGCCAATAATGTGCAGTCAGAGCCAGAAAAAGATTTAATCCATTCATCTCAAGTCCTTTGTTTAAGTCCTACGTTCATCACATGAAAGACAGAAGCCAGTCATATGCATTTAGAGCCGTAAAAAGATTTGATCTGTTCATCTCTCAAGTCCTCAGGTTTGAGTTATCTCTCTTTACATGCTGTCACGTGATAAACGAACCACTCAAAAACCAGAAGACTCGAAAAGTGAACTAATGATGGCTTCTTTCGGCTCAGACTGCGTCCATTGGTTAAGCTTATATGGGACTGTCTATTTGATGTGAACGAACCACTCAAATTTTTAAGACCTGTCAGAAGAGGTGAGCTGACATGATCATCGACAAAAGACCAGGTAAACAATAAATTATCATTTTCTCTTTTTTGTAATGTGATCAACGTTTGGGCTGGTTGTAAGTGAGTTTGGAAGCAACTTGTAATATTTCAATAATTTTTTGGCAAATTGAAGGAAATGAATGAAATGATTTGGAAAAAAAATTTGTTTATCTAAATCAGTTGTTCTCAAACTTTTTTCATCAAGTACCATCTCAGAAATAAATTGTCTCTCCAAGTACCACCAAAATGAGCAGTATTGAAATACAGTCGCTTAGTAGGCCCAGTAAAGCAGCTACAACTCTGCAGTTAAAAAAATGTGGCAGATTATCTCAGAAATATAGGCTATATGTCATATATGTCGTATTATATACATCATTTTTTGTAAATTTTGAAACGTGTGTAGCATGTGCATGACATATTTCATTCCTCCGCGTACCACTAGAAGAAAGCCTGCGTACCACTAGTGGTACACGTACCACAGTTTGAGAACCACTTATCTAAATAAATGAGCCAGAAAGGTCAGAGTCAGCCCCCAAACCGCAGCCAATGAAATGTTGAGGGCGGAGTTATCAGCAAGAGCTGAACACTATTGGCTGCTTGTGTGATGATGATATCACTGCATTTGAAATCTCTCTGAAAGCATTCAAAAGACAGATTGAAAACAATCAATCAGCTGATGTGTCAGCGGATCGATTGCTGATACATCTGCATGTTTCAGCGAATAGATGTGGCTTTAAAATGCTCATCGATGTTCATCTCTGACCATTCTGGCTAATCAATAGACATTTTTGTTGAGCTTCTGAACACAATGACATGAAAACATGAAACAATTTCATAAGCACAACATAAGCAGAAAACGTTAACATAATGTCAGAATATCCATATTTACAGTCAAAAAATCGGCCATGTCTATAGTGAAAGTACACATTCAAGTACACAATAATTTTTTTAAACTGACATCATCCAAAATGAATGCGCTGTCGTCATTAACAATAATCAACAACAAATGACTAAATAAAAACTTTAAACCTGAAATTAGAATACATGGCCTGACAAATAACTTAAAAAAATACTGTTACTGTAAATTAAAAGGCTATGTATTTGGTGTTTCCAAATGGTATTTAAGTGATACAATAGATTTTTTTTTTTACAATATAAACTGAATCAAACCAAAAACTGTGACCACAGAACCGAACAGACCAAACTGATTGTCTGAACAATTTAAACTGACATTTTTGTGAACTGTCCCTGTCACACCCTCGGCTCGTTCCTGCTCCACCAATCACCGCTCTCCCTCACAAACCACCTCCATCCATTCCCACCAACCATCACCGGCCTTCTAATCACCTGCACCTGTTCCTTCTCATCAAGGACACTATATAAACCCACCTCATTCTTCCACTCATCGGCCGTTATTAAAGTCGGATGGTTGTCCTCACCTTTGGTTCTTCGTCTTCCCCTCTTCCCTTGATGTTCCTTATGCATCTTCGGATCCTTAACCTACTGGTTAAAGGAAGTGACTACTCTCATATGGTGTTTACTAGAAGATGTGCCATTTACCTGATGAACTATGTATCTGTATACTCCCCTTCTGATATTCCCAGGAACGAACTGTGTGTGAGATCGCTAACATCAGATGTTTACTTTACAAGCTGTTGAAGAAGATTGCTAACAGGATTGACACCACTCTCCTGCTTCCTCACTTTGAGTTAGTGACTTGTTTTGAATGAAACTGATAAAAGATAACCATCCTTGTCTACCAGCATGACAGTCTCACCCCCAGCGGACAGCGATTGTATTTCTGAAACGCACTAAAAAGGGCAGTTTGGCCACTTTCATTCTAAGATGTCGTTTTAAAACAAAACTGCACTATTGTAAATGGTACCCAAGACCCATCCAGTTTCTCCTAGGTCACCTGAAAAGCTCCACAGTTTGTCCCTGTTTTGTAAGGTTTGTATAGTGAGGCTTGCTGTGAATTGTGATTTATGTGTATCTTTAGGGCAGAGCATGGTTGCGGGTTGCACTGATGGAAAAGCGTCTGTCTGAATACATCGCCACAGCTTTGCGAGACAGCCGTACAACAAGGTCAGATCAAAAGAAAAAGAACTCCATATTAATCATACCATTTTAATCTGTTTATGCAGTTGCTCCAATCAATGGATCATTTTTATGGCAATCTAAACTGTCAAATACAGTAAATAGTGCATTATAATGTGATTGTCTTATGAATTACGTGTGTGCAGGAGATTTTACGATGAAGGTGCCATAATGTTGCGAGAAGAAGCCACTGTACTGACTGGAATGCTCATAGGACTCGGTGCGATTGATTTTAGGTAAGATGATGGATCACGTAAAGCTTATGATACCTTAATGCAGGTTTTGTATGTCATGCAGTGTAGTAAAGTCAGTGTTGTGTGAACTTTGTTGTTCTGTCCTTGTCAGTTTCTGTTTGAAAGGGGAGGCTCTGGATGGGAAGTCTGAGGCTGTTATTGACTACACTCCTTATCTGAAATTCACTCAAAGGTAAATAACTTTTATTTCTTTTGTACGGCTCAGTTGCTTACAGGGAATAGCGAAGGGGATTTATTTAGATTTTATTTATATTTCTGTATACTAGGGGCTGAATTAATCACTATTTTTGACTATTTTAATTTGACATTCAGCTCATGCTGAGTTCAGACTGCATTATTTTATAAGTAGTGGCATCACAGATGTTTTCAGACTGCATGACTATCTGGGGTATCATTCAGATGGTGCTGTGTTTAGATTGTAGGATGGATTGGCGACAGAGGGTTTCAAGCTGCATGACTTTACAATAGGAAGAATCGCCAACAACTTTGTCTTGGTCCACAAACTACGTCTCACAACCAAACACTCACGAAAAGTGACATGGGATCAACTGGAGGTCATGTAGTATATCTTTTGTTATAACTACATGATGAGAAAGAAGCCTTTAGTGATGCTGTTGTCACGGTGACCGTCACAGCCCTAGGAATGGCAGCAAAACAACCTCAACAATGAACCAAACAAAGGTCAACATAGGCTAGACAAAGCAGGGAAAATGCTTAGAATTGCTCACCTACAGCTAACAAGACTCTGCAAAGTCTGTGTATGTGTGTACTGTTTATTTGGTTCATCTGATTAGTCCATCATGAGCTTCCAGCTTTTTGTTTGTAATCAGGGTAAATCAGGAACTGGTGTGTCTGAGGTGCATGAAGGAAGTTGTAGTTTGTTAAACTGGCATATGTGTAGTTTTTTAGCGATCTGCACAGGCAAAATTACTGATCGTGACAGTATATTATACTTACAAGATAAACCATGCGAGAGGTCAGCTAATATTTTAATAGCTAGCTCTTTTCCCTATGGACTGATTTCCCTATGATTCTCATGACTGTCTTTACCAAACATCCAAGCTTGGATTAAATTTGTTATGTTTCCATACCACACAGTAAATCCATAGCTTATTATGCTTTCAATCTTATCTTTGGCAAATAAAATCATAACTTTTTATTGTACCCCAAACAAAAATGTTGTGCTGTTGTGTTCAGTTATGATTACCTCAGTGACGATGAGGATGGTCAGAGCGTGGACAGCAGTAACAGTGATGACAGTGTGGAGCATCCCTACATCCCTCTGGTCACAGATGAGGAGAGCTGGAGGAACAAGTGCCGAAAGATGGAGCAGAGGTTCAAGATCGTCAATGCACAAAAGGTACAAAACTATTTCCATACAGTGAATGCACTCCGTGTTCGGTGTGCTGAAGGGCTTTTGCAATTCTTTTAGGGATACCTTGAGGAGCTGGTGAGGCTGCGTGAATCCCAGCTGAAGAATGTGGAGATGGAGAATAAGAAACTCACGGCTGGACTAGAAGAGCTGCAGCAACAGAGTCAGAAAGAGAAGAGAGAACTAGAGAACATCATACTGGAGCTGCAGGAACAACTGTGAGAGCTGCAAACACACTCTACTGATGCTTAAAATTTATGGAATTAGTTTGGATCAGTCGGATTAGACCAGGTGTGTCCAAACTCGGTCCTGGAGAGCCGGTTTCTTGCAGATTTTAGCTCCAACTTGCCTCAACACACATGCAAGGATGTTCCTAGTAAGCCTAGTAAAGCGGCAGTCACATTGCATTTTTCGCCCCATAGACTTTCAGTTATACAGAAGCGAATGCGACAAACTAAAAATGCAAGCTTGTGCGAAAAGTTTCGATGTGTTCCAAAGTTCAAGCTTGGTGAAGTCTAAACTGCAAAAACACATCACGTGACTGTCGGAGATCAATCGAAGATCAAAACATGACCTCTCTGTACAGAAATGTAAAATATGGACTAATCGCTCACTTTGTTTCATGTCTAATCATCTTGTTTAATCCCACCTTTATCTCAGTGCTGTACGACAGAATTTCGCATGCTCAAACTTTAGCGTTACAGCTGGATTCGCTAGCCAGATGTGTCTGATTGGGGTTGGAACTAAAATTTGCTGGACACCAGCCCTCCAGGATGGAGATTGGACACCCCTGGTTTAGACATATATATGTAGTTGTTCATCAGCACCATCATATTAAAAAATATATATGCTCCCAATGAAGATTTAAGCATTTTTATTACATGTACAATATTTATATACAAATTCAGCATTCACGTTAATGAGTATTTACAACAAAATTCTGTCTGGTGAATCTCAACTTAAACAAACACAAAGAAGAAAAGATTCATTTCTATTTTAATACATGAAAAATAACCTTTTCTTTACTCATCATAAAGTGATATGTAAAGTGTGATCATATGTGAAGTTTTTCATTATTTCATGATTATGTAATTTAGTCTTTATTTTGTGTTTTTATTTGAATTTTAGTTTTATTAGATTTAGATGAATTCTGAGACAAAAATACAAAATTAAGTCAAAAGTATAAGTTACAAAGTAGTTTCCTGTCACGAAAGGTTTTACAGAAAAAGATCCAAGTACAGCAAGAATAAACTTATTAAACAAAACAGCAATGCTCCAAACATCACAGTGCAGACAAGGAACAAGCAGGAATACAAAACATCGGGAAGATACAAAACAAAGTGATGAAACAAACAAACCAAAACAGAAGGAACAAAAGCACAAAGCAAAAACACAACAGAACAGGCCTATAAAGACACGACTCAATTAAACAAACAAGGAACGGCTACAAACAATAAGTGATCATGTGTGCAGGGATACAGCGATGCGTACAAAAACCAAAACAAATTCTTGTGTCCACGCAGAAACGCAAGTATCAACATGAGGTGTCGATAGATGTAACATCTCCTGTTATGGAGACTGAGGGCGTACTCACACTATGTACAGTTGCCTTGAACCGGGCCAAAGCACGCTTGTCCTCCCTCCCGTCTCTTACAGTACATTACATTCGGGCCTAGGCACGCTTGTGTCATCTGATGCGCTGTTCGGTAATCGCTTTCGCTCAGCACAGTGGAGATTTCTTTAGCTATATCGTTTAAGTCGTTTAATATGCAGTGACACGCAGTCAAATATTTCGCCGAACAGATCAGCCACTTTTGACGTCATAAATAATCATAAAATCCTCTTGCTGCAGGAATTAGGAGGTTTGGTGTAGGTGCAGCTGTTGTGCAGTGAGGAGTTTGCGTCTTTAATAAACTACGACAGTTTGTATTTATTGAACAGTAAGAATGATTAATAAATCTATATCAAACAGTACCTTAAAAGTCACGTTTCGCTTTCGGGCTCGTGCACATTTTGCACTCACACACAAGCCTACCGTGCCAAAGCCTAAGTGAACCACACTCAACTCTTCCAACCGGGCCAGACCGGCCAAGTGAAGCGTGCCTGAGCCCGATTCAGAGCACTCACACTTCTCAAACAATCCGGGAAACAGGCCTGGGCACGGTTCGGGTAGCATAGTGTGAGTAGGCCCTGACATTAAATAGTGTTAAAGACACATACACAAACAAAATGCATTCATCTTCTTTTCAGCTTAGTCCCTTTATTAATCTGGGGTTGCCAGAGTGAAATGAACCATGAGAGGAGTGTTTCATGCAAATGCAACCCATCACTGGAAAACACACACATGCTCACATTTACTCACACACACTACGAACAATTTAGCCAATTATCCAATTCATCTAAGGCGCAAGTTTTTGGACTGTGGAGGAAACCGGAGCACCTGAGGAAACCCACGCCAACATGGAGAGAACATGCAAATTCCACACAGAAATCAAGCAACCTTCGTGCTGAGGCAACAGTGCTACCCACTGCGCCACCGTGTCACTCATAATAGAGAAATAATATAGAACAAAATAAAATAACATCGAAATCTTAATTTTAGACTTTTAGAGGAATCACACAACATATAAAGCCTATAGCCTGACTGTTTATTGGCTGTTTATTGTTTGTCCCGCTATCAAAAAGAAAATGTATAGTTGAACTAGGCTATTATCCTTTAAAAAGTTGCAAAAACCCTTAACAAAATAAATTTGTGGCAGGAATGGGCTTTTATAGGCTTTTTTATTGTCTATTTAGTTTTTAATTAGTTTAGTACATAAAGTTGAAGTAAATATAAATTATAAACATTTCTGATGACAAATAGTTGAAATAAGTTTTTCAGGAAACAATATAAAACGAAAAAATAAAAAAAGAACAAGTGCAAATTTAAAACCCACTCTCTGGTAGAGTTCAAAAGATGAATAATAAAAAAATTATAATAAAATAATAATAATAAATAAACAAACACATCAAATAATTTTACAAAGAAATTTTACAAAGACTTTAAAAAGAATGCACACAACATCAAAAGCTGAATGCCATATACTTACAGTTGTCACATTAGCACCATGTATACGGGAAGTTGAGAGTTCCATCGAGAGTATGTCCAACAAATACACAGTCCAGGTTCGTCTGTCTATGGTATAAGGAGGATTCCAGCGGTTGACCAGCAATTGTTTTGCTGCTGTGAAAGCAGTTAACAGAAGACATATTTGTTGAACGGACAAAGTGAGGTCCCAAAAGTCATTCATGAAAAAATGGCGTGGAATCAAACATATAATAGTTCCCATCAAACATGATGGTCCTCTGAGAGCTGAGTCCAGAAAGATGTGAGAGAGGGACATTCCTAAAAGAAATGTAAAAAAGTGCCTAAAGATCCTTGTAAACAGGTTACAATTAGAAGAAGATGAGAGATTCATATAAAAACGTTTCTTTGGAGTCAAGTACAACCTATGCCGCAATTTCCAATGAATAGTTTAGTGATTAGGATTTCTAAAAGACAGTTTAAACAGTTTTTGATCTAAAAATTAAACGTATACTGTACATCCTCATTAAGGTCCTTAGCCCAAACAGTTGTGATGGGTGTTTTTCTCTGTATATTCTATTATTATCTTTACATTAACATTTATTTTGTTTAAAGCAATAAAAGTGGTTTGGCTTGTTGTGTTACTATTTTCAGAATGAGAAACACAAACTTTTATTTCCTGATTTTTATAAATGTTTTCATTCAAAAAGCTTTCAAATCATCCTAAGTTTAATAATAATTGATTAATTTAAATTAAGTGGCATGATTCGTTTTAAATTCTATCGCTGATTTATTTGAAAGTCTAAATGTCACTTTGATTTTTCCAACAATATGCTGGTAAAAACGGTGTGGCACACAGTCCTCTCAAAAATCAGGAATTACATTATTCATTCCTTAAATATATCATCTGAGTGTCGACTATATGTTTTGGTCTGTATTTGAATTGCAGGACAAGTCTGATTCCAGGAGAATCACATCCACTTTCTAAGGATCTGTCAATCCCCCTTGTTAACCAATGGCCATCACTCCAAAACTACAACAACCAGGAAGACAGTAAACTGTACCACAGGTGATATATTTACTTTTAATATTGTCACAAACACCAGCCATCTAGTCCTTGTAGATCACTGGTAAAAATGCAGATTGCTAAATAACAACAAATCCACAATTACATGGACTATATATCCAGTCATGCACCGCTCACACACACCAGTTCCCCATTCCACACTCACACAGCTGGAAGATTGTTACAAATTGATTACATAGACTTTAAATAGAGTCCGCACACACATCTTGGCGTCTTGTTTATCTGTTTTTTTTTTTTTGCTTTGCCATGATAGTCCCTTGCTTTGTTGTTTTGTTTAATTACGTTGTCTGCTCCCTGCGTTTTGACAATCCGCCTGTTGTATGACCACAACTCTGTATTTGCCTGTTTACATCTGTTTGCCGTGTTGACTGTTGCTTGCCTGACCATTCTATGTTGAATAAGCCTGCATTTGGATCTGTACTTTCTTGTACTACCCATCATATTACAAACATGGCTCAACAGCTTATTTAAAATACAAGTCGACTTGCTTTATGAAGTACACTCCTTTGTTTGCTGTTTGTTCAAACTACTATGCTGGAACAACACAATTCTTGAGATTTTTTGGACAGCTTAATTGTTTTATGTTCAATCCACTTTAATTTTTTAAAACTAATTGGTTAACCTAATTCCCTCATGTTTTTCTCAATCAAATTGATTGTGTGAAACCCAGCATTTTTTACAGTGCACACAATTTATTCATGTTGTCCCAACACAAATCTATTAAGTCAACAGTCAGAGCCCTGGTCACACTGTGAGATTTAAGCGATTGAGACAAATTTGGGAAATCTTAAAAGATTCCTGAAATACTAGGCTAAAATTGGTGATCTTTGTTTGTTGGTTTGACAGCCACTTAAGGCCCCTTGCGATCAGATTTTTTCTCTGATGAAGTTCTGGCAGTGTCAGAAGATTTCAGACACTTTTCTGCTGTGTGACAACAGCTGCGATGTGCATCAATCCAAGAACCAATAGGAGGGCAGAATCTGATGACGCAATCCATGTGACAATTCAAATGACCCTGGGGAAATGTCAAAACAGTCTTCCTGCTTTTATTATTAAGACTCGCCGCTTGCAAAATGGCTGATTGTTTACAAATTATTTACGTTTGCTGTGAGGTATAATTTCAGAACGTGGGAAAATGAAAGTGTCACGAATAGATGACGTTAAACTTAACCAGATACAGGCATTTTCTTTTGTGTTTGGCGCGTCTTCATTGTCGTTCAGTCTGACTTAATGACTTCTCACAGATATTTACATAAATCGTCTGCCCTGTTGTTGTCTAATGGGAGGAATGCGTCAATAGAGACACCGTTTTAGAACAGGGTAGCGCTCTTTTAAAATGAATGTGGGACCAAGGTGCAGTGGAGGACTGGCCATCCAGAGCCAGAGATATAAAATAATTTATATCACTTTTCTACATCGATGGTTGAGTGACCGCACGGGCATTGCCAACAAAGAGCATTTGTTTGTGTGCATGGAAATGCATTATCCTCCCTCCCTGGTAAATTGGATGTAAACAATGTCCTAAAACACATCCCCTCTTCTGCTTATACTTTTTATACGGAGGGAGCGATTCGTTTGTGAATGAATCTCCGTTATGAATGACTCGTTCACGTAGTCGACAATAATACCAGTTTCTTGTACCGCAGCATCTTGTTGTCATGTTTCATTTACATTGTTTGCTGATTTTATTCAACAAAGCATAAGCCTAGTATTTAGTGCAAGTTAGTGCTACTTTGCCTTTTGGTGAATGGAGTAAGTGACTGTATTATCATCTATAAGGTGACTTATTGAGCACAAAAGTTCAAAAAACGTAAAAAACTAAATCTTACCTATGAAATGTTCTGCCTTTGTGCTTTGTTTTCTTTGTTTTCTCATTACTAAAGCCCAGCATATTTACATTGGCACACTGTCTTGACTAGTTTGGTTGAATAACATGGTTTTTTAACATTGTCCTGTGAGCACTGTACAAATGTGGCCGCGTTATTGACGCAAGCTTAGGGTCCATATGCGATATCTAGTGTATAAATCTATGATTACAGCTGAGATCTTACAGTGTGATTTGGAAACCATGTTTGTGTAGTCTGACATTTCACAATTGTTCAGGATTATTAAAAAAAATCGCACAGTGTGAGCCGGCCTTAAGTTGTCCCCAATAAAATCTCAAGATTTGTGTTTTTCATCTCATTTTAAATAAGGAGTTTGAACACACAGCAATTTTTTTTTCAGTGTACTATAGATTGGGAAGTAGAATATTACTGGCAGATACAATAATGCTGTGTCATTGCTGTCTTTTAGGGGTAGTTTTCCCAGCCCAGAGCCCCATATCAGCCTAACCACAGGTTCTCAGAGGACTGAACGAAAACAGAATGGAAAGTCCTGGTGCACCGCAGGTACAGCTTAAATCCACAGACAACCAGTTTAAAGGGTAGTTCACAAAAAAAAAAAAAAAAAAAATATATATATATTTATATATATATATTATTTATATATATATATATATATATATATATATATATATATATATATATATATATATATATATATATATATATATATATATATATATATATATATATAGTGTTGAACACAGAAGAAGATATACTGAGAAAGATGGAAACTGGCAACCATTCTACTTTCCTACTATGGAGGTCAATGGTTAACAGTTTTAAAGAGCCCCTATTATGGGTTTTTAAAAATGACCTTAAATGCAGTGTGTAACAGCCCTAAGTCAAGTGAAATATCCAGCTAAGGCTTAAATCTGAAAGTGCACCATGTTTAAGACTATTGATTTATCTATAAAAGAGTCGACTCATAGTGGTTCAAATGGTTGGCAAGACGTCACAATGGAACTCATTGGCTGTTTGTTAAAGGAAGGATCAGAAAAGACTATATGGGACTTTGTCAGAGCTTGACAGGAATTTTTCAGTACACAGTTCATGGATCAGTTCCTTCCTTTATTTCACAAGTGTAACTGTACGTTCACACCAAAAGTTGCGAGAGCGTCAAAGTATCCGGAAGTCATTCATTTTCAAAGGGAGCCAGCAGTGATAAGCGGCGAGGAGCAGCACGGCACATCTTCACCAATGTGAGCGTCAAGGAGAGTTAAAATCAAGTCAACTTTTTGAGAATGAGCTATGACGCTGTTCAGCGGCAATCAATCTGAATGAAGAAGTCCAACACTTGATAGGAGTCCGGAGTGACTCCTTCATATGGGTGAATTGTTTAATTCATTCTTATGGTGATTTTTTTTTTTTAATCGAGAAATTAAGGCTTGTGCAACATAAAGGGCACATATTTATGCCTATTTGACCTATTTTTGGCCCAAAGTATAGCAGGAACAAAGAGTTTAATTGATTTGAAAATCGAATGTCTAATGAATGTCAAAAATCAAACTAACTTTACCGCGGTCGCTTATAGGCCTATACTTCAGCACACAAACAGACAAACAGGTTTGTTAAAAAAATATTAATATATAAAATTACAGTGAAATATTCACAGTTTCAGAGAAGCCTATATTAGGCTAAATAATTTTCTGTTAATGACAATTCATATACGCCGGGCCATCAGTTTCACTTAATCAACTACTTTGACCACTGTGAGCCAGGCTTTCCAAACTATTCGCACCACTTTAAGTATTCCATCGGAAGAATAACCTAAACACTGTCGGCAGGATGAGAGAAAATAAACTTATTATTGTAAGAATAATCTTACGGAGCAGTGCATGTCACGTCTGCGCAGCCGGTGCCTGAATGAAGCGCTTGCATCACTGACACAGCGTACAGCCCTCCGGTATCTGCGGACACTTCTAAAACAGCAGCACAAAGGGGAGAATCAGTGCGTTGAAGATCTGTCCAATGTATTATTGAGCTTTTTCTCATTTCAATTTTCAGGTAGGCCTACTTTGTGTGTAAAGAGCAGGTAATGACCCTCTCTACTCCAGTGTTGTAAATGCGATCTGCTGAACCAACAAACCCAGCACAACATGATTTTAAAACAGCAATGATCTCCATGTTGCCGGTCAAAATGAATTATTTAGTGCAAAACTAAATGCATTTCTCCACTGATTACTTATATTAACCGTAACAAGTAGTCTTGGAGAGAGTATTTCGTGTTGTCATGAATGCAACGCAGTTTGAATTGTAAATGAATGGACAATGATTGACAGGCACAGCGGCGGGGAAGCACTAAGCTGAACATGAATTTAACCACGTGAATATTCATCTGTACTTCACATTAAACAATAAAATGGCTTCAAAATATTTAGGATATAGTAGGACTACATGACAACTTACTAGTGCCTTTTAATAGGCTACCTTCGTGGCTTTTGTTGGATTATAAATTACACAGAATATAGCGCACACGCAAGATCGGATTTGGATCTGTACCACCTGGCCAATACCCGATCCAGCAAAAATATGCAGTATCGAATTGATATCTAATTCAAGCATCGGGATCGGTGCATCCCTGGTAACAAATGTCTTCTTCTGTGTTCAAAACAAAAAGAAACTCGAACCAAATGTTAGCTTTCCACTTTTTTGATGTTTGACTCTTCTCTTGCTTTGTTTTTCAGAAAAAGACTACACTCCATCAATGCTAGGTCTATGCGGCTCAATGTCCTCTTTGCCCAGCTGTAAGTCCTTGCCAAGCCTGAGGTCGACAGAGTGTCTGGTGAACATCAGCGCAGAGCCCAGTCCTGCTCTAACCCCAAGCTAGAGACCACCAGATGCCACAAGCAGAGAGAAACTGCCCTGCCAGCTAAGCCATCCAAAGATAAACAGCTCGACTACAGCCTGGGTAACCCACATTTCCAAAAAACATCCTTTATTTTCCCTTGAAGAGATATTACTAGTTATGATGGGATAAATTTCTCCGGTTCATGGTGTCAGAGCCTCTCTCTGAATGTCTTTGCTGCTCAGCTCTTTCTCCTGACTTGATTTGGAAACCTTTGAAGGCAAACTGTGGACTATGCACTGACTGACCTGAGACCTGTTTTTCCCTACAGTATAGGTCGCCTCAGAGCCCAAACACAGCTTTCCCACAATTCTGTTGCCCTTTAAAAACCTCCTTACAAAACACCTACATACAAAATCACAGGCTGAAATTAACCAGTGTGTGAAAGAAAGCATATTCTAATTATATAATATTAGTATGTTGACATTATCATCACCTTTTTGTTTTTGATTCTCGCCTGAACATCCCTCCTCTGCCAAAACAAAGAGAAAACTCATGCCAAGATGATGTGTATGTCTTACTTTGCGGTCTGCTGGTGGTAATAAAATGAAAGACATTTCTGGAATCGCTGCCTTATTCCTCTTGTCTTGCCTGATTGAGCATCCTGCACACGATGGCAGTGTATTCTTGCTGACTGACAGAGATTGACGTAATCTTAGCGGACCCGTATATATCTGCATACTGTTGTACTGTACTGTACGTTCGCTATCAATTTGTCATCTGTTGTCTCCAATGAGTGAATCACATTCATCTTCGGTATATTAGCAGCTAATTCCCGAAAGCCTAAGTTAAATCGTATTGGCATCATGTAAAACTGATAAGCTAGATTCACCATCGCCCTCCATTGTCAGTGTAACTGAAAGTCTATTTGTTTGAGAATGTGTGTTTGTTGTGTTAGAGAGCTGTCCACCCTCAATTAGGAGTTTATTTCATTTTTAATTCATTGAACTTTTTGTTTTTGTTTTAAAAGCCATTGGAAACTATGCTGTTTGTCACTTAAAATCGCAATAAAACTGCCTTTTTTTTGTCCTATTGTTTTCCACTGAGTCATAAATGTTCACTGTTTGTATCATCAGTTCTTCCTGCAGCCCAAGACTGGTTACCAACTGAAGATAAGCAGGGCTGAGTCTGGTCAGTACCTGGATGGGAGACTGCATGGGAAAACTAGGTTGCTGTTGGAAGTGGTGTTAGTGAGGCCAGCAGAGGGTGCCCAACCTGCGGTCTGTGTGAGTCCCAATGCCCCAATGTAGTGAAAGGGACACTATACCCTAGTAGCAAAGAATTCTGGCCCAGATTTGGCATAAAGCTGGGACATCAGGCATTCATCCGGCACTGGCATACAGCATGTGGGCCAACCATGGCCTGGGTTTGGCAGAGGTGGCACCGTCTATAATGCGGCACACAAGATTTGGGCCAGGTGTAAAACGTAGTATTTGGCCCAGATTTTAAAAATTGATTGTGGGCCACGTGAGTTTGGCCAGTCTTGACCCACATTTAAAATACATAAAAATAATTTTTGATTAAATAAATCAATTCTAAAAAATCAGGTCACTGAGAAAAAACAAGGCCCATAGTGTGCCTAAAGCACAATGCTTCATAGGTTTATTAATTTCATTGCAATCGTCACACACCAACCTTTCTGGCCCAGTTCAGGCCCAGTTATGAGTTATTAACTTGGCTGAGACTTGGCCCAGATATGGTCTGTGTTTGACCCTTGTCTGGAAGCCAGATTTGGTCCAGTCATGTACCGTAATTCACAACGGCATGTGGGCCAAGCAAAATTTGATTGTGTGGGCCAGAACTGGGCCAGAGAAATTTTGCTATGTGGGTACTGTTAGTTAGTGCAGTCTTTCGGATGAGACGTTAAACTGAGGTCCTGACTCTCTGTGGTCATTAAAAATCCCATGGCACTTTTCATAAAAGAGTAGGGGTGTAACCCTGGTGTCCTGGCTAAATTCCCTCCATCGGCCCTTATCTGACTTTGTAGCTGCCTGTCGCTCTGGGTGGCGACCTGCTTCAAACACAGAGGTGTGTAGGTATATACCTCACCAATTCAACCGAACCCTGAGCAAGCTGAGAGAGGATCACGTGAGCTCTACTGGTGTTCCTATTGGCCGTCGCTCAGTTGCTCTTCATTTGCATAAAGTTGAAGGATTCTCAACTTTGTCGCGTTGCCCACCTTGTCACCAATAGTCGCTGTTGCTTTTGCAGACTGCAGAGTACCCGCAGGGTCTTAAAAGCATTGAAAAAATCTTGAATTTGATAATATAAAATTAAGGCCTTTATAGCCTTGAATTTGATGTACAAAGTCTTGGATTTCGTTACAAAGGTCTTATTTTATTTATTTATTTTTGCTATTTCTAGGATTAGGTTCATACCATAACAAAATTGCCTGTTTCTAATGTAGGCTGATTAAAAAATTCATGCAGCGAAACGTTGAGTGTATCTCGCTCTTCACGTCATAGCAGAAAGTGTGAAAGCGTGCGCACCTGTTACTATGGTTACTAGGCAAGTGAGGTACAGAACAAGATAGTCGCTAGCCTAGTTTGTTGGCTAAAATGGAAAAGTGTCGGTTTAATTAGCTGTGGCCAAGGAATCCGAATTACGTTTAGGTCAAGCCTGTGCCAGAAAATGACCGCGAGGCCTACTGCTGTTGGTGCCGGAAATCTTTTAAGCTAGCGACGATAGGTGTTACAGCCCTGGACTCCCATATGAAGGGTGCCAAACCTACCGCATGTAGTACTGCTGCTCGCCAGCGCCAACCACCTATTGTGCAGTTCTGTGGACCGGAGACCTCTTCGGTTACTGAAACAGCTTAGGCTATTAGTAATGAAGAAATTTCTACATTAGAAGCATTGCCACCACTGCCAAGGAACATCCTATCTTACTGTGGCTCAACACCAACTCTGCGGCATAAGCGTTGAGTAAATGCCAAAAGTAGAAGTTGACAGGGCTTGAGAATCTGGGCGAAAAAATTGCAGCCAAGGCAGCAGAGCTGTGAAGGCTAGTGTTCAACATTAAGTTGCCATTAAATTTAATTTGAAATGGTTTTATAAAGGTATTAAAAAGCCTTGAATTTAATTTAGGGGATCCCAGGGGTAGCTTGAGATGGAGTTTGCTGGAAGTGAAATGAACGGTCGCTTGTCGATTTACCCATCATGACCTCCCAATCTTCCCCATCTACTTAATTGGCTTTATCACTGTCTCTCCACTCCCCCTATAGCTGGTGTGTGGTAAGCGCTCTGGCGCCTTTGTCCTGTGGCTGCCGTCACATCATTCAAGTGGATGCTGCACACTGGTGGAGGTATGGCGAGACTCCCCCCACTTTATAAATGTGGGCCATACACTGTAAATGCGCTATATAAACACACATTACATTACACGTGACAGTTCCTGTTTTATCATTTAAATGGATAGTTCACACACAGATAAAACATTTATTAAAAAATACTCTGCATCAAGTGGTTCTAAACCTTTGTGAGTTTCTCCTTCTGTTGAACACAAAAGAAGATATTTTGAGCAATGTTGTAAACTGGTAACAATTAGTTATGTTTCCATCCACCTATTTATTCCCGCAGTTTGGAATATCGCATAATAAAATGCTTAACCCTTTAACTGCCTGCTCTACCAAATGGTTGACCATAGTTAGACTGTTTTAAATGATGACTGATAAATGTTTTAAATAATGGTTTACACACAAAGCATTGTTGGTTTACAGAAATGGAAACAAAAAAAAATAAATAATCAAACAAACATAATTCTGTTGGGTCGCACTACTACACTTGATTATGGTTTCATTTAAAAAATAAATAAATAAAAAAAAAGTGTTAAATGAGAATCTAAAATATTTTATGGCATACTTGATGATTTAGAGTTCAAAAATGTTCTATTTTGATTATGTTTTAAAATAAATTGGTCTTACACTTCATATTTTCAGACTTTTAATAGTACAGTATATGTATTAATTCTGGTACATTTACCATAAACCGACGTATCAACCAATTGGTAGAGTTTGATATTTTAGAAATTATGGGATGTGTTGAAAAAAAATGCAATTGAGTGTGTTAACTAGGGACATTAGAAAGAAATGCAGTCCAAGCAGGCACGTGCACACATAGGGCTCAACCTATGCAGTGCACATGCCTATTTAGTCTTGGATAGAAAGTGCCCTTCCAAAATGATCTGAAGTGCCCCCGCGACAACACCCCTTGGATAGTCTCTGCACGGGACTGAGTTCAGGCATTTTTTTTCTTGGAAAATGCCAACATGCACATTAAATTCCATTTTCCTTTTTGATATTTGCCACCAGTTTTTCACGATTTTGTTCTCTTTGGCTCATTGGATGGAAACGGCTTAATTTGCAATTTTTTAAAGTGATAATCATAAATGATCATAAATCTAATTTGCATCTTTAGATGGAAACATATTAACAACCAAAGTAGGATAAACTAACATTATTGAAGTTAATGGTTACCGCTTTTCAACATTCTCGCATGTTCTCCCCGCGTTCGCGTTTTCTCTGGGTGCTCCGGTTAGACTTGTGGTACAAGTGAGAATAAGCTAAATTGGCCATAGTGTGTGCGTGAAAGTGGAAGGGCATCCGCTGTGCAAAACATGTGCTGGATAGGTTGGCGGTTCATTCCACTGTGGTGACCCCTGATTAATAAAGGGACTAAGCCGAAAAGAAAATGAATGAATGATTATACTGGAATAGTTGGTGGTTTGTTCCGCTGTGGCAACCCCTGACAATTAAGGGACTAACCTAAAGAAATGTATAAATGAATGGCATTCCATGAACCATTATTTTCAGTGTACTTCTCTCTGGTAATATTTTTAAAGCATTAAAGAGCAAATAACTTTGAAGAATTAGCAAATATTCTTCCAGTAACCTCAGAAGTTAACATTCCTTTAAAGTAAGCTAAAGTTTTGTTAGCTGTTAGCTATGAGCAAATTTGTCATTTCTCATATTAAAAAAACAACATCATTCTAACCTATTTTAACCCTGGGCTTCCTCCAGATGTCACCGTGGAACGCATTACAACAGGTCGTGAATTTAGGGTCAACGTGACCCAGGGGTCAAACCAAGAGCAAGTGTCAATTATGTGTTAAAGGTCAGCATCATTTGTTCACTTTAGACTGCGGCAGTCAAAAACAACCTAAAAGAAGTGTCCAAATACAAAATGGGAATTGGTGGTTTAAAATATGCTCACCGAGAAGATGTGACCTTTGATTGATTACCCAGCATGCAGCAGAGCCAAGCTAAAGAATCACTTTTGATCTTCAAAATCACTAATTTCGAAAAGAAGCAGGGGAGAAAAAGATGAAGAGGATTTCCTGTTGAATGTGCAGTCAAAAAAGCATTTTTCTCAAGTGAAACATGTCATGAAATCACTGTTTAGCAAAGTCTTATATATATAAGCATTTAGCATTTATTATTTACAAATGTTTAGGTTCATTTTAATTGCCCAGAAGGCCCAGATTACAGAAAAGCTCCATCTAAAATGTGTCTATCTGAAATAACACCTTTGAATATGTGAATAATACATATGCGTTATCTATCTCACACAAACTCCACCCTGCAGTCATTTGGAGGAAGTTTATCTCCAACAACAATACATGCTGAAGACACCCACAGGGACGGGGCTGTTACACCCTTGGGAGCACTTCAGCTAGTATGCATTAAAAATATAGTTTGATTTAGTGAAAGTTTAACCCACAATTCGACGGTTGTAATAAGAGAATAGTAGAACTTTCACTAATAACAGATCCAAGCTGAAAAAAATGCTATAGTAATTTACTACAGTGTTTTTGAACCATGCTATTCTAAAGTGTATTTTACTGTATACAGTATATTATAGTAATTATACAACACTTTGGTAATGAATGCTACAGAATACAGTAGTATTAACTACATGAACTACTATTAACTACTAATAACTACTACTATTAAAGCATATACAGTGCATCTAGAAAGTATTCATAGCGCTTCATTTTTTACTACAATTTTTTAATATTACAGCCTTATTCCTAAATGGATTAAATAATTGATTTACTCAACATTCTACACACAACTCCCCATAATGACAATGTGAACAAAGATTTTTTGAAATTGTTGCAAATTTATTAAAAAAAAAACAAAAACTGAAAAATCACATGTATATCAGTATTCACAGCCTTTGCTCAATACTTTGTTGATGCATCTTTGGCAGCAATTACAGCCTCAAGTCTTTTTGAATATGATGCCACAAGCTTGGCACACCTGTCTTTGGGAAATTATGCCCATTTCTCTTTGCAGTACCTCTCAAGCTCAATCAGGTTGGATGTGAAGCGACAGTGTACAGCCATTTTCAGATCTCTCCAGAGATGTTCAATAGGATTTACTGTAGGTCTGGGCTCTGGCTGGGCCACTCAAGGAGGACCTTCACGGAGTTGTTGTGAAGCCACTCCATTGATATTTTGGCAGTGTGCTTTGGGTCATTGTCCTACCGGAAGATGAACCGTCTACCCCGTCAAGATCATTCTGAAGCAGGTTTTCATTAGGGATTTCATTCGAGATCCTGACTAGTCTTCCAGTTCCTGCTGCTGAAAAACATCCCCACAGTTTGATGCTGATGGTATTAGCCTGGTAATGAGCAGTTCCTGGTTTTCTCCAAATGTAACGCCTGGCATTTACTCCAAAGAGTTCAATTTTAGGCTCATCAGAGCAGATAATTTTGTTTCTTATGGTCTGAAAGTCCTTCAGATGCATTTTGGCAAATTCCTGGCATGTAGTGGCTTCCGTCTGGCAACTCTACCATACAGGCCTGATCTCCTCTCTCCACAGAAGAACACTGAATACAGAGTGACCATCGAGTTATTGATCACCTCCCCGACTAAGGCCCTTCTCTCCCGATTACTCAGCTTAGATGGCCCAAGGAAGAGGCCTGATGGTTCCAAACATCTTCCACTTACAGGTGATGGAGGCTGCTGGGCTCATTGGAACTTTTATTTCAGAGCAGCAGAAATGTTTCTTTAACCTTCCCCAGCCTTGTGCCTCGAGACAATCCTGTCTCAGAGGTCTACAGACAATTCCTTTGTCTTCATGCTTGGTTTGTGCTTTGCCATGCACTGTCAACCCTGGGACCTTATATAGACAGGTGTATTTCTATTCAAATCATGTCCAATCAACTGAATTTACCACAGGAGAACTCTAATTAAGCTGCTAAAACATCTCAAGAATAATCAGAGGAAACAGAATGTACCTGAGCTTAATTTAAAGCTTCACGGCAAAGGCTGTCAATACTGATGTACATGTGATTTTTCAGGTTTTTTATTTTTTTAAAATTTGCAACACTTTCAAAAACTCTTTGTTCACATGGTCATTTATGGGGTATTGTGTGTGGAATTTTGAGGAAATAAATTAATTTAATCCATTTTGGAATAAGGCTATAACATAAAAAAATGTGGAAAAAGTCAAGCGCTATGAATACTTTCCGGATGCACTGTAAAGTATTAAAACTGCTAAACTGTAATAAATACTGTAGTATACTTTAGTTTTACTACAGTAAACTGTGATGTAGTGTTGTATAATATACCCTTTAATGTAATAGTTGTATTACCATAGCAGCTATAGAATTATCAGAATAGATGGATTCAAGTACTCTACTACAGTATGGTTATAAACACTACAACATTTACTCTAAAATACTATTATTGCTTCATATGGTATCACTTTACAGCTGATGTACTAAATTGGCTCTATTTAAAAATAGTATAAAATTCTTGCATAAGCGTATGAACGAGTGTTTGTGGAGAGATGAAGACGTCCAGGAGCGGATCAGGTCTCCAGCCTCTCAAAGCTACTGTTCCCTTCACACTGCACAAAGCAACTGGAGCTGCCATCACAAACATTACTCCAGTTAAAGTTTTTAACGCATTGTAAAGTGCATTTTACTGCATATATTATAGATATTATACAACTTTGTTAATGAATGTTACAGCATACAGTTGTATTGAACTACTATTAACTACGACATATAAAGTATTAAAACTGATAAACTGTAAAGTATACTTTAGTTTCAGTAAACTGAAGTAGTGTATTGTAATATAGCCTTTACAACAGGGGTGTCCAAACTCGGTCTTGGAGGGCCAGTGTCCTGCTGAGTTTAGCTCCAACTTGCTTCAACACACCTAGTAAGGGCTTGATAAGCTGGTTCAGGTGTGATTAATTAGCATTGGAGCTAAACTCTTCAGGACACTGGCCCTTCAGAACCGAGGTTGGACACTCCTGCTTTACAGTATTTTCTAGTAGTATTATCACAGCAACTGTAGAATTATCAGAACAGATTAATTTAAGTACTTTGCTATTGTATGTTTAAAACACCACAGCATTTACTGTAAATTAATATAGTATTTTTGCATACCAGTTTACAGTTAAATTGGCTCTATTTAAAAACACTATAATTAAAGAGGGTCAGCACGGTGGCGCAGTGGGTAGCACAATGGCCTCACAGCAAGAAGGTTGCTGGTTCGAGCCCCTTTTCTGTGTGGAGTTTGCATGTTCTCCCCGTGGGTGCTCCGGTTTCCCCCACAGTCCAAAGACATGCGGTACAGGTGAATTAAATAAGCTAAATTGGCTGTAGTGTATGTGAGTATGGGCGGGTGTTTCCCAGTGTTGGGTTGCAGCTGAAAGGGCATTCACTGCATAAAACGTGGTGGATAAGTTGGTGGTTCATTCCACTGTGGCGACCCCAGATTTATAAAGGGATTAAAACAAAAAGAAAATGAGTGAATAATTAAAGAGTCTGGAGGAGAAGTTCTGATAATGGCTTCTTTTTTTTAAGATTTCTGATTTGCGTGTCAATTTGTGTGCAAGTTTAAACTTCTCTTACTGGTAGTTAACTAGATAATGACATGGACGGAAACTCACTTAAAGAGATATTGTTCAAATGAAACAGAAAGTTCTGTCATCATTTACGCACCCATCACTTGTCAGAGACCTGTTTGAGTTTGTTTTTTTTCTGTTGAACACAAAAGAAGATATTTAGAATTATGTTCAAGACCTGTAACCATTGACCTAATGTAAAAGAAATATTTCTTGCATAGATAAATCATTTTGTTTCACAAGACCTTGATATTTTCCCAGTGGTAGGTTGCAGCTGGAAGGGCATCCGCTGTGCAAAACACATGCTGCATAAGTTGGCGGTTCATTCCGCTGTGGCAACCCCAGATAAATAATGGGACTAAGCCGAAAAGAAAATGAATGAATAAATGAATTAAGACCGTGATATTTCGACAGAGCCCATGGGCATTCCTTTTGTTTTGACAGCATTTTCTTTCTATTTTGTTACTCTCAAAGTTACAGATGTTACTGACTTCCATTTTAAGAAACATCGTGGACCACATATTCAGCTAAAAACTGATTTAAAAAATGGAAATAAAAATGTAATGTTTTACAACAGGAAAAAGACGCCTGTATTGTGGACAGGCGGATGATGAGTAGATGAATACCAAATGTTAAATTTATGAGTGAAATATATCTTTAAATAAATTATGTCGTCTTATTACAGGATTGATGTCGCATTATCCAATACGCGTATTGCTGGCATTTCTTTTAGCCAATCAAAAGGCGAGTAGTAAACGTATCCTCCCACTTCCCAAAATGAATGAAAGATGCGACAAAGCGTCCTCAGCGTTACTCCACTTTCAGCAGCAGAGTAACTCGCTTAACTTTATACTTGAGCACTACTTGAATTTGTTAACGTTCTAGGTCTGGTTAAGAACTAGATAAGAAACATCTAAAACAACTGGTAATAGACAGTTGAAGAAGGACAAACTACAACAGGACGTAGATAACAAACTGAATTTTGCACGCGTCGTCTTTTACGTACGTTGCGCAGGTTTGTTATGTTTTCTACAGAGACAGAAAGAAGCGTGTGAACCAGTGTTTGCCGAGTGATGAAGATGTCTAGAAGCGGATCAGGTCTCCAGCCTCTCAAAGCTACTGTTCCCTTCACACTGCACAAAGCAACTGGAGCTGCAATCACAAACATTACACCAGGTGAAGTATTTAACGCACACCACCATCTACTAATGTACCACACAAGAGCTACACCACTGAAAGTCCTGCCTCAATATATACATTATGAATAGCTTCAGTTCGAAACTGTACTTTACTATCTTTTCAAATAGGCTTTAAACTTTCTAAACGCGTACATTAATTAACTTACTTGTATTTTAAAGTTTGGGTTTTGCAACTATGGTGGTTCCTCATTGGGAAATATAAAATTTAACAGTAAACTCATTTAATTAGTACTTAGACAATACAGTTTTGTCTCGACTGCTGCTGCATCATCAATTGGGGTAAAGTTGGTTTCATATTCACACATTCTGACTTTCTCCATAATAATATATTTTCAGAAAAGGCATTATTTGCATTTTTTAAATGGGGAAATTATATTAGCAGCCAATGACTATGAAAGAACAACACTGATCACAGTCATTTAAATAGTGCTAATGTTGTTTTGAATACTGATGTTATTTCAGACCAAATATTTAAAGTAGAGTGCTAAACAATATAAAAACCATTAAAATAAATGAATGTGCAAATATTAAACTAACTTTACCTCAATTCAACATCATTCTACTCCATATCAAATTATGGAAACAAAAGGTTTTTCCTTAAAACAAGCAAAATCATTTTGTTTTTTGTTTTGACATAAGATTATTGCTTGCCCTATTGGCAGCTTGTTAATTTTTGTTTTAAGGAAAAACTCACTTAACTTTGACATTTTTCTTAAATCAAGAAACAAAAATAGCCTGTTAATTTAATAAATGCATTTTGATTATAGAATTGTCAAAGATTTCTTCTAAAAACAAGAAAAAATCATTTAATCGGGTTTCGGCTAAATTATTTACATTTTATTAAGTTTAATTTAATATTTGTAGTCATTTTCTTTATTAAAAGTTGCGATTAATACCAAATTAATGCTGATTAAACAACAAAAAAAAAAAATTTAAAAATAGGCAGCAGGATGTTTACAAATGTATTATAAAACATATTGTTGTAAACATTTGTTATTTATTTGCTACCTAATTTAATCTTGAAACATAACCTATGAAAACCTACTCCTTCCAAGCCTTCTATATCTGTTTTAAAGCTTTATTTTAAAATGTCAAAAACAAATGTTTGAAGAAGGACCTTTTAATGCACTGAGACGAATGTACAAAAAATATTTCAGGTATTTCACTAATCAAATAATACAATTTGTGACACTGATCATGTGAACTTCTTTGTAGTGAAGGTCACATTTTTTTGTTTCCACTGAAACACAAGATGTTCTTTAAAGCATCTGAAGTCATAAGATTCATCATCAGCATTCGTTCATGTCTGTAATTAAAGTAAGACCTATTACATAAATGATGTCCGATTACATCATTCTGAAATGCATGTTTATCTTAACAGCTCAAACTGCGATGTTGATAATAGTGGCTTTACAATGGATTGTTTGTGTTCTTGGCCCTCTTAGCCTCAGAAACACCACTAGTAGGTAATATATTGCAAACTAATAGGCAAATATTTAAAGCATTTTTTCTGGGTATCTTTGACTGTTGATGTGTTATTTCTTGCATAACATTTTTTGGGTAGTCAGTTCTTAGTTATTGCAAAACTGTTTTGATCTGGACCAGTGAATGGAAAGTTTATCATAAAAGAGGTTAAAGCACATTGTAGTATTTTACTATGTTTGATTGTAGTACATTAATATAACAGAAAGTGTTTTAATAGCTTGTTTCATGGTTGAATAAGAAAGGAATTTCTTCTTTTTTTTCTGTGCACTCTTTGATTTCAGGTATTTAGTCTGAAACTTTGTCTGTTTCGGTGTGTGTTCACATTTGGCTGGATGTTTTCAGTGTTTCAGTTTGCTCTGTTATGATTTGGGATCTGTGTATGGATTTCAGTTAAAATGAACTCTGGTGTGGAACATTCATTCATTAATTTGCTTTTCGGCTAAGTCCCTTTATTAATCCGGGGTCGTCACAGCGGAATGAACCGCCAACTTATCCAGCATGTTTTACGTAGCGGATGTCCTTCCAGCCGCAACCCATCTCTGGGAAACATTCACTCAAACACACACTCATTCACACACATACACTACGGACAGTTTAGCCTATCCAATTCACCTGTACCAAATGTCTTTTGACTGTGGGGGAAACCGGAGCACCCGGTGGACGCATGCAAACTCCACAAAGAAACGCCAACTGACCCAGCCAAGGATCGAACCAGCGACCTTCTTGCTGTGAGGCGACAGTTCTACCTACTGCGCCACTACGTCACCTGAAACCTCTAAATTAAGCAGAAACAGGACAGGATGTCACAAGATGGATGCAACTATAACAAGGACAGAATGCTCAGGCATACCTGGCTTTTCTCTTTATGATTATTTCATTTTGATCATGATTTAACGGCAGATCTTCATGTGTGTGTGTCTGTGTGTGATGGAGGAATTCCTGGTCCTGTTTTAAAGGGGACCTATTATGCAAATGATCACTTGTATAGGGTGTTTAAACAGTTTTGTGGCAATAGTGTGTGAATATAACCAGCCTCTAATGGTATTTAAACATATTAATTCTATTTTCATATAATTAGACTTCAGAAAAACAGCAGAAAACTTTTTTTTTTTTTTTTTTTTGATATTTTCCCTGTATGTGTCATCGGAGAGAAAAAGCCCTGGCCGTGGCCCACAGAAGACTGCCTTCTTTTGTGACACTACTTTTCACATTTTTAGCTGATGCATAGGTGTTTGTAGCTCCTCCCTCTTTTAAAAAGAGCTCAATCTCATTTGAATTTAAAGCGACAGTCAGCAAAACAGCACAATTTGGATCAAAGCCTGAAAGGGTCAGTTTCAGAGTTCTAAAACATGATCTGTGGATTTTATTGAGCTAAAACTTGACATACACAATCTTTTTTGACTTGTTTTTACATTTTGTAAAAAGGGGCATAATAGGTCCCCTTTAACAGGTTTTATAAGCTTCAAATGATAACAATATGACACATACATGCATACAACAAGCACGTTTAGCCAATCACAGCGTTCATGGTTTCCACTACAATCATTCTTCCATTCTTGCCATGGCTACATTCCAGCTTCACATTCAAAACACTCAGTCGTTGTTGTTGTTTTTAATAGCGGGTTATAATTGCTCCAAAACTTATTAAATGGTAAGTGAATTATGACAGAGTGAACTTTTTTTTTAATTGTAGTGCTGTGCATTATTTGTTTAACCCTTTGAGGTTACGTGCTGACTGACTGTCTGCCTGACAGGTGCGTGAGGCATGAGGCCAGCAAACACAACGTAGCTTTCAGTTAGGATGAGCACAGTTACCATAATTTTAATTTATTTTTAGATCTAAAAGTCTATGGTTCTGCATACATAGATTTTGCTGGAGTTTATAGCCGTTTCACTTTACTTTGTCTATAAATGTCTATTGGAGACATTTATAAATATTCCTAACAAATCTAATAAATGTTGGAGACATACTACATAAATGCACTAAATTGCACTTCAGCAGCATTTATTTGAGAGCGCACAAGAAGATCTGCGCTTGAGCAGTGTATATTTGCAAGAAGTTTTGTGCACGAGCAGAGGAAATTGGTGCGCAAGCAAAAAGATTTGCATGCTCGTATTGCAAAAATGCGATCTCAACTTGTAATACTGTGCTCACCACATTTCTTAATTTGTCATTGAAATAACACCATAGGTAGTTGGTAAATTTGTGTAAAAGGTCAGCTGCCACAGCTGGAAAAAAATCTAAAGAAAACACGGGCATTGTTTTGGAAGATTTGTCATGATACTGAAAAGTTTGACATTGCGATGTTTTTTTTTTCTCTGCAATATACATAGTGATATAAATACAACTTTAACAAAACAAAACAAATGAAATACAATGACTAAGTAGGGGAGTGAAATGTAAATATATTTTACATAATTTATTCTATGCATGAAAGAAACAAACTACAGTCATAAATAAACACAATGGAGCAAATATAAAAGTGAAACAACCAGTGCTTCATGGTTTTTTGGGGAGAGTATTGCAGTATTCAGGCACAGAAAGTAAATAATAAAATGTAAAATAGCATTGCATAATCTTCATTGTATAAATAATTCAATAAAAATAATCTGTATTTATGCACTATTAAAATGATTTAAACTCTATTTAAATGCTCAAACAGTCACAGTTCTTAAAACACGATATTATGGTCAAATTCTGCAGTGTCTCCAAAAATGTTGTGTGTCAAATGTAATCCCAATTCAACATTGCATATCTTGTGATGTGACTATTGCGGGCGCACACTTTGCGATACCAATACTGAAACGATATATTGTGCAGCCCTAAGCGTGACTATCATTTTCTTTGTGTGTATTTTAGTGGACTGAAACATAACAAGAAAAACAAATGACTAAGTATAAAAACACACCCTAAAACACAAGCTTTCTTCTTCCTTCAGGTGAAAGGACTAAAGCTGAGTGGCGTTTGCAGACTCGCATTCGCCGCACACTATCTCTGGATGCAATTGTCGGGTCATACTTGCATGGCCAGTGGCCCAAAGAAGGTGACAGAGATGACAGGGAAGACAAATCCACACAGGTGAAGAGATTCAATCTCCTCATGACTGAATGATTTGCTGCTGGTTTAAAGGTTCCATAGAATAAATATCCAGTATACCTAGGCATTGCTGAATAATAGGAGTTCAGTACATGGAAATGACATAACAATTGGGTTTAAGGGTCATGGTTCCTTGTTTTCATGCAAATGCCATGAGTGTAAATTCAAAAACAGGTAAATCAGAAAAAAACACAGACCAATATGCATAGTTTAATATGCATACCCCGGGCAGCGATTGATTGGCCAAAATGCTTGCTAGTGAGATTATATTATTTTTAAAGTATATAAGCTTTTATTATGCCTACTACTGTACATACACTACCTGACAAAAGACTTGTCGTCCATCCATGCTTTAGGAGCAACAAATAATAACTTGATTCATTTGGTATCAGAAGTGGCGCTTTTTTACCAAAATAAAATATGATCATGCCTTGATTTTCAATTAGGACAGTAAGGGCTGACTTTGCTCAGAAAAAGTCTTCTTAACAGAGATAATGTACAGTATAGAATATAAAGTCATGGTGCAGCGGAAAAAGAATTAATATTGTGTATGACTCCAATGAGCTTGGACGACTGCATCCGTACATCTCTGCAATGACTCGAATAAAATATTAATAAAGTTATCTGGAATGGCAAAGAAAGCTTTCTTCAGGACTCCCAGAGTTTATCAAGATTCTTTGGATTCATCTTTAATGCCTCCTCTTTCATCTTACCCCAGACTTGCTCAATAATGTTCATTCTGGTGACTGGACTGGCCAATCTTGGAGCACCTTGACCTTCTTTGCTTTCAGGAGCTTAGATGTGGAGGCTGAAGTATGAGCGCTATCCTGCTGAAGAATTTGCCCTCTCCTGTGGTTTGTAAAGTAATGGGTGACACAAATGTCTTGATACCTCAGATTGTCAATGTTTCCATCCACTCTGCAGATCTCTCGCATGCCCCCATACTGAATGTAACCCCAAACTATGATTTTCCCTTCATCAAACTTGACTGATTTCTGAGAGAATCTTGGGTCCATGAGGGTTCCAATAGATCTTCTGCAGTATTTGTGATGATTGGGATGCAGTTCAACAGATTACTCAGTGAGAAAATCTACCTTCTGTCACTTTTCCAAAGGATCAACGAGAAGTTAAGTTATTATTTGTTGCTTTTACAACTGGGATCGACAACAAGACTTTAGTCAGGTAGTGAATGTGGAAATCTTTGATAAAAAGACTTTAAGGAAAAGTAAGCTGTTCTGTGAAGCAGGAAGCCATACGTGATCTTATCGGTTCACAGCTTGTCAAAACGCAAAATGCACGATTTACAAATTATACATTTATTCATTGCCATCCAGAAAAGGTTGTTTAAATGTTGTTTAAAAGACGTTTAATGTATACATTTTGAAATTTGCTGTATATGTTTGTAATGAGGCGACAAAGACATGAACGTTTAAAAAATAAAAACATGTAATTTGCAATACATTTCAAAAACTCATCTGTTTATGCAGAGTTTGATTTTAATTCCTGTTTATGTTTTCATATTTGTTAAAACCACAAAATGCAACTCTAAATTTATCTCTGTTGTTCCCTTTGTCAAGTATAATTATAATTTAGTCAATTCCTGAAGGGCCGCAGCCCTGCACAGTTTAGTTCCAACCCTGCTCCAACACACTTACCTGTAGATTTCAAACAAGCCTGAAGGACTCAATTAGTTTGATCAGGTGTATTTAATTAGGGTTGGAACAAAACTGTGCAGAGCTGCGGCCCTTTCAGAACTGAGTTTGACACCTGTGATCTAGATAAAAAAAACCTCTCCACTACTTCAGTTGTAAAGAATAATTTAACAATGCATTCTGTGGCACCTTTAAATTTAGATGCAACTTTAATCCTTTAAATTTAGATAAAACTTTAGATGATCCATAATAAATTTGATTGTGTTCCACCATGTCACTGTTAGAAGACTCAGCATGTAGTAAGATTTTTATTAGATTATATAATTATACTGGAATCAAAAATTTTTTGGGTGAGTCCTGCTCTCATTTGTTATCACTTTCTGCATTTCTTGTTGGTTTTATCTGAGTGCTGTGGAGTGAAACTGCCTACCCCACATCCTCTGTCTGTATACGGTTCCTGCCATCATGGTGAACAACCTATTTAAGAGTCACTATGAAATTAATATCGATAATTCTGTGCACATCATTATTACTTAAAAAAAGGATTTGCTCTTGTAAATTTCAATTCAAATATCCCTCTTGCGACACCTTTCCTGAGCTGTGGCAGAGCAAATTACATTCATTGAATCAAATCCGGATTGTTAGAAATGTAATTGTTTTACATTTGGCTCTTTTGGTTATACATAGAAAAGACGATCACAACTTTTCATATTAACTTTAAAGGCTGCATGAATCAGGAGTTGCTGAGACTTTCATTTCAGTATAATGATGTACTTAAAAACTGAAATGGAATATTGAGTAGGGGTGTTTTTGTGCATCATTTTCTGAATAAGAATATTGTGGCAAAAGCTCCAAATGCTGAAGAAACAAAGGGTCCTTTTATACATCCGCCACAAGTGATGTTTTGTAAACAAATTTCCGGAGGAGCATGCGCAGAAGTTTCAGTATCGGATACGTAATTGACAATTATTCTATTATCAAATCAGTTCTTGAACAAACCCCTATATTTACCAAAGCTGTCTTACCTGCAGCATCTCACGACTTCTGGGGCCGGGCTAGGTACTTCGCTCAAATCCCAACTCCTCTATGTTTCCTAATAAGGGGAATAACTTGAGTTGGGGTGTCTCCCCGAGCTCAGAGCCCTCTCCCCGAACAGCACGCCAAATACGCCTTATTCACCAGTTCACACTTGCAATCGTTTAAGGCGCAAGACGTGTTTGGGGTGATTTGATGCTATTTTCAGACCAACTCAACTTTTTTTCTTTGCGCCAAGGCGCATGGTCTAAAAGGGTTGAGTTAATTTTCTTAAAGAGTTATAGGTGTGTTTTGAGGATAAACCAATTAGAGTCTCATCTCCCATTCCCTCTAAGAGCCAGCTGCGTCGCGCCAAGAGTGTCGCTATTTACAGGACACAAAGTAAGTCTAAGTGGCAAAAAATGAGCATTTCACAAGCATACAGTTAACAGTTTTTTAACCGAAAACTGTTAAACAGAGCATCTACTGCGTGAGAATGAGAGATAATGGATATACTTTCACTTTCGCTCTTGGATAGGGAAACCTTTAAGCACAGACATCAATTAGTCTATAAATAAATAAGTTTGTTTGTTAAGCGCAAATATTAATTTCAAAACTATTTCTAAATTCAGTTCTAATTTCCAGCAAACAAATAAATGAGCAATAATAACAAAGTGTGCTCAAAAACCTGAGTTATATCCTAAAACAAATGCTGTGCCCCATATGGTCTAAAACCTGACAGGTGGGCAAATCTAAGCTTGTTTTTAATAAAACAAATATAAATATGGATATAATAAATAATATTGCTAATAATAATAACATTATACAAAATTGTTATGAATGAACTGAAAAAGCCTCCCGAGATGAAAAAGACATAAAAGCAGTGGTTTTTCATATTTATGTAGGCTAGAAAATAATATGTTTTGTAATATTTTAATCCTTTATATTTATATCCAATATCTTTTCTTATTATATCCTATATATATCCTTAATATTTACATTTTTTTCATATGTAAAGATATTTGCCTATTGCTCTCTTGTGTGTATTAAGCAGTGCGTAAGCGAGGCGCAACTCTGCGCCAGAGTTTAGACCGGGTTAGTTTTGGTCTAATGAAAAATCTATTATAGTTTCTCAAAATAGCAACGCACCAGCAGTACGCCTTCCTTTTTAGACCAGAACGCCTCTGGGTGCACAAATGAGCGCTAATGCATTTGCTATTTAAACAGCGTAGCGCAACGCCTCAAAACGACTCTTGCGCCAAGCTGAAACTACCAAAAGACTATTGCGCTGTGCCTTGCTCCACATTGCGCCGGGTGTATGATAGGGCCTTTCATGTTTTGAGCCACTTTGTTTAAAAAGCAAATCCATTTGTGCCAGTTTGTGGACTGAAGAGCGTGCTGGTCTAAAATAGAGGTGTGTTAAGGTGCATGGTTGGCACGTTGCTATTTTGAAAAACTGAAATAGACTGTGCCATTGACCAATGAAACACCAATTAAAAAGTCCAGCACAGATCGCATTAATGTACGCACAGGATGTACAGCAATACACAAATCTCTTTACAAATGAAATTTAAAGGATTAAAAAGTTACAAAAATTATATTATTTTCTACATAAATCTAAAAATCATTACCTCCATGCCTTCATGTCTCCATGCCTTTTTTTCAGTTCATTCATGACAATTTGCATTTGTATAATTATTAGCCGCATTATTTATTATATGCATATTTGTATTTGTTTTAAGAAAAACAAGTTTGTATTTATCCACCTGTTGGGTTTTAGAGACATATACATCACCATATGGTGAATAAAATGTGTATTTGGATATGACTCCAATATGTTTTTGACCACATTTCGTTATTGTCGTTCATTTATTTGTTTGCTGGAAATTGGAACTGAATTTAGAAATAGTTTTGAAACAAATCTTTGCGCAAATGAAATAAAAAATGGAGTGCGTACAACACCATTTTCTTATCCACGAAAGTAAAGGAGTAAAGAGAAAGTAAAGAGGCTGAATAAAGGAGGCCTATTCTTTATCCTCATGCAAATTGTTTGTTTAACTGTTTTCTTTCTAATAAAGTATTCAGCTTTTCCACTTACAAAGTCTGCCTTGTAAATGCCAAATGTGCCATGGTGTAATGCATCTGACTCTTAAAGGGAATGGGAGATGAGACTCTGATTGGTTTAATGCACATTATGCTCAAAACACACACATAATTCATTAAGTGAATAAGCACAACCCTGTTAGACCATGCACAGTGGGTTAACCGTATTTCCGTTCTTAAAATAGCAAAAGTGGATTCAGACATGCCCTTAATGCTTTTGCGCTTTAGTCTTTGCACCTAGACCATTAAAATAGAGCCCAAATAGTCAGATTTTGATTGAACATAACAAACACCTTTTTTTTAGGGAATTTACTTGAATGGAATAATTGTTTATCTTAAGACTAGCAAAGTTTCCATTATAATGGAAGTAGCAGTGTTATTCTTTAAAAATACCATGGTACACGAATAGTTAATAATGAACCCTATTTACACGTACAGTATTTCACCCGTTATTAGTTAACCAGCAGTCTCAGTTACAGAAACCGATGTTGTTACAGTGCTGTAGTCAAGAAATGGTGCTGTGACTGAAAAGATGTTAGACTTTTGGATCCATTGTTTTGAGTAATTGGCTTTTTTGATGGGGATTAAAGTGGCAAAATTTTTTTCTGCAATAAATGCATCAATAAATTCTAACTATTAATTGACTAATAACGGGTTTTGTTCCAGGAAACGGGAAGCTGCTAAGTTTTGGGTCATTACTGCAGCAAAGTTATTTTTGTTTTGCATTTTCTAATTAGTTTTCTTTAAATTTTTTCTAAATTTGGTTACAGCCTAATTTATCACATATATAATTTTCCTTTGGCTTTGTCCCTTTATTTATCAGGGGTCACCACAGCAGAATGAACCACAAATTATTCTGGCATATGTTTTATATAAACAGATGCCCTACCAGCTGGAACCCAGTGCTGGGAAACACCAATACACTCTCACATTCACACACACTAATACACTATGGCCAATTTCAGTTTATTCAATGGGCTATATGCACAGCTAGTGTTTTTCAGCCAATGATAAACTTTTAGTAAAAGCTTTATATGTCTATTTTTAATTTCATAAGGTTCTTTTTACAGCATCAACGTTGTTATGCAATTCAAATATAATCAGTTAAATAGATTTAAGCTTCCATTTGCTTGGTAAATCGTAAAAAGAGATAAAAGACCAATTAAACGCAGTTGCCGTCATTAGCCGCAGACTACCCCAGAAGTTCCATTGAAAACACTGGAGTAAAATTAATTTCCATATTTTAAAGACATGGTCCTGAAAAATATAACTTAATGCAGTGCTTCTTGTTTGATCTGATACCCACTTTATATTGTATCTCAACCAGGCAATGCAGATTGCTGTTTTTCTTTTTTTAAAGAAATCAGATCTTAAACTAGCAATTTTGTATGAGATGACAATTAACCAGAAGCTCTGGGGCTGGCTGATTAAAATTAAAAGTCTGTGTGCATATACCCCATTTACCTATACTGCATGTATTTAAAATGTGGGGGAAACCACGGGAAGAACTTGCAAACTCTACACAGAAATTCCAACTTACACAGCCGGGACTTGAAAAGGCAACCTGCTTGCTGTGAGGCGACTGCTAACCACTGCGCTACTGTGCCACCCTATATATATATATATATATATATATATATATATATATATATATATATATATATATATATATATATATATATATATATATATATATATATATATATATAAAAGTTAGTTATTATAAGTTACGTTTTGAAGAATAAGACAAACTTTGTTAATGATAATGTACAGTATTTTTTAAAAAATATACATTACACTTTGCTCTAACAAGTACTTCTCTTAACATCACTGTGTTCTTCTTTATTTTAAAAATTATTTAAATTTTTGCTGAATATAATTTTATTTCATTTAGTTTGTTTGAGTTTTTCATTTATTGTTTTTTTTTTTTTATAAATTTTATTTTAGTTAATTAAAATGTTTTTTAAAATAGGCTTGCAATGAGAAGATAGACTACTATAGTGTATATATACCAAAGTTTCTCACAGTATCTTCTGAAACCATGGTTTGCTTAAACTAGGCTGTTTCATCAGTCTATGATTTGCAATCGCTGTGAACTTTAGCCATCAGCTCAGCTGTGAAAGGAAGTGGGCACATTCTCATTTTTTAAATATCATCTGTTTTCAGTTCCCCATAGTTTAAACCAAAATCTTACCCATCTTTTTATATCCACAACTGTTTTCCCCAGTTAAATTATAATTTAGTATCTCATTCATTGTTTTATTGTTGATGTGAGTTAATAAAAAAAACTAATTGTAAAGGTTCACCCACAAACTACAATTGTTTTCTACTTAACCACATGATGAAAACAAGGATATAACAACAGAGTTGTTGTATAAGAGTTGAGGGCAAATGTGTCATGTTATGTTTATTTGTTTGGGAGGATGCATTTTATTTAATTTTCTTTAAAAAAGTCTTTGGTTACATTTGGGAATTTTTCATCCATAGCATGATTTATGAATTTAACCAAAAACTGATTGTTGAAAAAGAAAAAATATATAGGAAATAGACTTCGGGCGTCTCATTATAAAGATGGTGTATACCCCAAACGGGTGGAAACCTGTGTACGCCACTTCCAAAAGTTGTGATCTATAAAAAAACAAACCTGACTAGAGAGTATGTGCAGTAAGTAAACTGTAAGTTAACATATTTAACTTAAATATTGACTTAATTGAACAACTTTAAATCATCATCTGAGCCATAATCATTCATAAATGAATAAAAATAGATTCTGGTGTACGTTCTATAAATTCAATAAATATAGCTTTTGGTTCTTTGTATAGGTTGTTGTCCATTGAATGCAGGCAGATGGATGTGAGCTTTGAAGGATGGTTTTAAAAAGGCAGTTACATTTACATGGACATCAGTAATCGAATTAATTTCTTTAATCTAATTAAGAGAATAATAAGACTAAGGTATTCACATGAGTTGCTTTTTGAATATTCCTTTCATGATCGCGTTTTACATGTTATTGCACATGATTCGATTAACGTCATTGCGTCACCGCGCTATTCGCATTTCTTCCGGAGTTTCATGTAATTTCGGGTGTTTCATTCTTAATTTATCGACTTTACCTGCAGTTTGGCTTTTTTACTTTCATTCGGGAACATTTCATGCATGCCCCCCATGACAAACGAGATATTGGATGCAACTATGAACTGCTGGAAGTGTTGTTTTAATGGAAGTAATACCGCATACTGAATGGAAGAAAAAAAAAAACTCTGCATTTCCCGATGCAGGTGTCTGTGATCTGCACTTACTCGGTAGGTGCAAAGAATGTGTGTGGGTGTGTTTATCCTGTCGCAAAATGCGGCGAAAAGTCCTACATGACGGTAATAGTTGGATTTAAGGTGTTTACATGTCTGTACTGCACTTCAGTAATGTGACTAAATTCATCATACTCCACATGTTTTAATTCGATTTCTCTTTAGTTTGATGATGACCTTAATCTAATTAAATTAATTAAAAATTGCTGTTTACATGGTTAACTCTTAATCAGAGTATCGTCTTAATCGCATTAAAATCAAATTATTGGTGTCCATGTAAATGTACTCAGTGTGTGGTTCAGTTAAACAATTAATTATATGAGGTTAAATTACTATTACTATAACTAAATTAACTTGCGACTTTCAGCTCAGCTGTATTGCAAAATCGACATTCAACTGATTAATTCCACAGTCATGCAATAGCTTTATATGAAAAGCAGATGGCAAAATAAGTAATTCTTGTCATGCTGTAGTTCACAATTTCTTTTTGCTGCACAAATTCAGACCTGTTGCAACATGCTTTGAATAAATTATGACTGAATCAATAAACATGAAGTATCACTTTATTAAATTGTTTAGCCAAGTTTTTTTAAAATTTTTTTTTATGCTGTCTGAAGTGATGCTGATGGTTGGTATTTTTGTAAAAGACACCACGAGCGTGGCTTGCTGGAGTAGAAACAACGACTATTAGATTGCACAGACGCTCTGCATCGTGGGGGAATCCAGAACGTCTCCAGGATGGAAGTGATGCGTGTCCAGGTTCATCAGTAAGTCAAAGATAGGACGCTACTTAATTTACAGTTACTTGTGTAAGGTTTAACTTAGTATGTAAAATGTTCTGTTTTTGTTTCCAAGTTATCCAAGCAGAAACAACAACTGCAACAGAAGCAACGGTCAGGAGTTCCAGTTGGCAGCAAAGAGAAACTGCACAACCAACATCAGGTACACGTACAATCACCCACATGCACACATGCATGCACACACGCACCATTATTCTCTCATTCTTGCTGTTCTACGCTCCTTAGTTCCTCATTTTCAATCCTTATTTCCCTTTTCAAACTCTACATAAGATCATGCAGTGCTATTTAAGAGCTGACTGAAAAAGCATAGGATATTTGTGCTAATAAGTCCAAATAATGTCTGGTGAAAACAGCAAAATTATTACTATTTGCTAAGCACATTTAGTGCTATTTGTAAATGCTGCATATTTGCACCTAAGTGCATTGTAGTACATTTATGAGACAGTGTGGAATAATAACAGAATTTTTAGATGCTGTATTTTATATGGTTTTAAATATTGTAGATGCTTTTTGCATAGTACATTATACAACAGTATTCAATTTTAACAGCTATAACAACATTATTCAATGACAAAACATTATTTATTATATATATTATATATATATATTAAGGGTGTAACGATACGCATATTCGTATTGAACCATTCGGTACGAGACTTTCAGTTCGGTACGCATTACAAACCAAACGATTATATTCAGACTAACATCTAAAAAGATAAAAGAGGATAAGTACAAAATATAATGTTTCCAGTGAAGCAACCCTCAACATGGCATCTCAAATGACGTGGCAGACAACATGCTACCTTCCCCGCTGTCATATTAAGCAGTAGAACATGGCTTTTGAACTCAGAATATCACTTTATTAAAGCATGCACTCATAAACAATCTTGCTGTCTTCTGTGTCTGCCTGCTTGTGCTGGCTCCGCCCCTGTTGCCCCATCAACCCTGGAACCCGACACAAAACAGCCAATCTCAATAACCTGTTCACATATCACCACACCTGCCCACCTCCAAACACTACTCCAGGCAAGAGCTACACAAGCTCGCAAAATGGCCAGTAACGTTAATGTAATCCCAGATATCACAAGTCTCCCGGAAGTTTCGGGAGTCTCCCGCAAATGCATAGAGACTCCTTGATGCCCGCAAACAAATGATAATCTTCCGGAAATCACGCGTCCTTAAATACGTCACACACCCCTCTCCACTGAATCCCTACCTGCTCTTCAGGTACGTTGGGCATAACTCACCCTCGCCGCTCGGGTACATCGCACGCACACGCTTCCACCGCTCTTCAGATACGTCGCACACCATTACCGCCACCAAGAGAGTGGTGGAAAAAAAACAATGACTGCTATGACAGTAAGCTATTTTAGCTGTAATATTTGAGAATATCTACTCATTTACACTGACATCACGGAATCAGTAACTGGAACTGGAACAGCATTCAGGCTACAGTTTTTAAACACCATTTTAAGGACAAAATTATTAGCCTCTTTAAGCTATATTTTGTCTGATAGTCTACAGAATAAACCATCATTATACAAAAACATGCCTAATTACCTTAACCTACTGTAATTAACCTAGTTAAGCCTTTAATGTCACTTTAAGCTGTATAGAAGAGTCTTGAAAAATATCTGGTTAAAGATTATTTACTTTCATCATAGCAAACAAACTCATTTTTTTAAAATGAGTTATTAAAACTACTGTTAAACAGAAATTGGGGGGAAAAATAAAGGGGGGAGTAAATAATTCATGGGGGCTAATAATTCTGACTAATATATATTAGTTATATAGATGGTTTGTTCTGTAGATTACCGAAATAAAATATAGCTTAAAGTGGCTAATAATTTTAACTTTAAAATGGTGTTAAAAGAATAAAAAAACTGCTTTTATTATAGCCAAAATAAATCAAATAAGATTTTTTCAGGAGAAAAAATATTATCAGACATACTGTGAAAATTTCCTTGCTCTGTTAAACATCATTTGGGAAGAATTTTTAAAAAAGATAAAGATTCAAAGGGGGCTAATAATTCTGACTTTAACTTTATGTAATTTTATTTTAGAAATGCTGTCTTATTGGGACCATGCTTGTTCCTATCCTTCTATTTTTAGAGTCTACCCCCTGCATCTGCCCTTAACCTGAACCATACTGTACTTGCTGATCAGTAAACAAGTTCATGAAGGTCATAATGCAAAAATATGCAATGTGTGTTTGCAAAAATATTACATATTTGGTGCTTCATTAAGTCTATAAAATCTACAATTATAGCCTGTATTGAGTTTAGAAGACACGCTGGAGTCTGGAAGAGCAGATTTATTTTAATAAATGTCATTTTGCTAAATACTGAAAAGCTGGGAAAAACAAACTTTAAAAGTGAGTACAATGAGCATAATTATAAAAATTAAGTCAACTCAACAGTTCCAAGTTAGACATGGGTTCACTTGCATTATTTTTGTAAAGTCAACTTGTTGCTTTTAAGGCAATTGGTTAACTAGTCACTTTTTACAGTGTACTTGCAAAGCACTTAGTCGTGCAAGATGGTGCTAGTATTTATTTGGAGTATATTTCTCTGATTTGTTTTCCTGCTTATTGTTTCTTTGGTACTTTTGAATTTTTGATTGTTTTTGTCAAAACTGGTGGGCTTGATTTCATCACAACATATGCACTGCAAAAGAATTTATTACTCTTGGCAGTTTTTGTCTTCTTTCTAGTCCAACTTTTTTTAAATGTACAAGTCAAGCATTTTCTAGACAGTAAAAAAATATTGTTTTGTTTTCAAAAATATTAAGTCAAATTTAAGTCCTTTTTTTTTTAAACAAGCAAAATAATCTGCCAATTGATTTAGCTAAATTTTATTATAAACCAAAACCAAGATTATTTTGCTTGTTTTAGGAAAAAACACTTAATTTTGACTTACTATTTTTTAAGTGTTTAGAAAATACATCTTGATTAAATTATTTTAAAATTTGGACTAGAACAAGAATATAATGAAAAGCATATTTTTGCAGTGTGTCTTAACTAGACAATTGTAGACAACACTTACCTAGACCACAAGCACTCTAAATTGAGAAGTTTTTGCTCAATGTCGAAGAACAGACTGATCTCACAAGGGAATGTAACTATTTTTTGTATTGTAAGAAAATTGCCTATAATTTGTATATTATTTTATCCTTACAAAAGTGTATGATTTTTTTAAATGAGGCGTGCTCACAAACCCCAACCACTAAAGCCAACCATCATTGGGCAAATGATACTAAAGTGTTCATACTAAAAATCATACTAATTAACCACTAAATTATACAGTTATGAATTGCAGTGAGATTATACCTATATTTTTCAAAATACATTTTGGTTGAGCAGAAAATCGTCCAGATTTTGGGTGAACTATTCATTTATGGAAGGATTTTAGCTGTATTCAAGGATTTTATCATAGAGATCACTAAAATGGAACAGCCGAGCAAGCAAAAGTGTAACAAACACTCATAACACATTAGCTATGTGCCAATGCCCCAACACCCACACCAACACCATAATAATAGCAACAGTAACTCTGCCAAAAATCTAGGTATCAGTTATCGTCTGGCCTATTCCTATGTGAAAATCTGTATCATTGCATTTTCCTGTGCAAGCATATCACAATCTGAAATTCAAAAAATTCTGTACTTTTAGGGAGGCTCATGCTTTTCTCTGCCAAAAGCTCCTAGACGCTCATAAAATTCAAATGAGCTCAGCGGTCTGTGGGTGAAGCCTTCAAATGCACTCTAGAGCCATATTCTGACACACATTCACATGTACACAAATGTTAGAGGAAGTGTGGAGGATTGCAAAAAAGTAACAGGAAGAGTGGTTGTATCAAAACCCGTTCTGCTTTAAACACGCGCTGGCCAGCTGCAAACAGAAATCACACACCCCAGTTTTACAGTTTTACACTCTGGTTTCTTTTATGATTTTAGTTAAATATATTGGTATTTTTATTTTGACTACTTTTTATCCATTGCAACACGCTAGTCCGCCTAATAAGTCTAGTTATCTGCAACATGACTCGCACATTATATCAGCTATGCACTGTAAACATTTTACTAGCACACTCTTTAAAATTGTATTGGTCAGCTGCAGATTGGTGAACAGCTAGTTGCTAATTTGCAAGAATCACAAGGTTCAAACCATACAGACTTTGAAATATATTGCTGTGAAGATTTTATGAGGCTGTAATACCACCTTGCTGCATATCAGATTTGTCAGTGTTATGATCAGGCTCTTTTACAGTCGAATGCAAAATTGTCAACCCATCTATGAAATAATGTTTCTAACTATTTCCTATGTGCTATTTAATGGAGCGTTAGTTGTTTATTTTAAATTGAATGAAATCAAAGTTTTTTTTTCCTTTTTTAAAACTATTTTAAAGTCAGTATTTTTAGCCTCCTATTTGATTTGGGTACAGAACAAACCACTGTTGACCAATGACTTGTTCAATTAACTTAACTTGCCTAGTTAACCTAGTTAAGCCTTTAAACTGCACTTTAAGCTGACTAGTTTATTGCAAAATGACTAGTAAAATGTTAAGACAAAGACAAAAGAAGTTAGTTATTAGAAATTATTTTTTTTAATTATTATGCAGGGCTAGGCGATAAAATCGATATCTGTATTTATTGACCGAACACCATTGTCAATATGGATATTAAAATGTTTGGTATAAAGTTTCGTTATGAAGGCTATAGTTTTATTACAATGTGGCTGCTGAGTGTGTCTTGGAAGCAATGCCATTTCCAATGGAGGTGCACGCCATGCCCACATGGAAGCGACGTGCCCATGTGCAAATGGCACGCATGTGATGCACCCATTTTCCAGGTACACCTATTTGAAAAACATCTAAACAACATTTCAGACTGCCGCGAGCGCACTGTGATTCATGTTAGCAGAACTAACCAATCTGCTTCAAACTTTGTATGGAACACACACATTTAAGTAATGGCAGACTAATTACCTCAGTCAAGTAGAGTGCATCCAAACAATGTAGTGCTTTTTACTTTTCTCCATAAACTTGCATCGGAGCTGCAGCAATGGTCTGTTTGTCATCCGCTAATAAAACTGTCGCCTAGTTATGAGAGATGCTATAGAAAATGGTTAAGGAAAGCTTGCGCTTGTCACTTGAGGTCAGAATTACAACATTTGAAAATGAGTGCCATATAGCAGCAGTGTAGAGATTATAAATTTTAAAAAAGATGTCGCCAGAGTGGCTTTTTGGTTTCCTTTCTTGTGCATCCTATGCCATTAGCACCCCAACTCAAAGAGTTTTTAGCATAGTCATTACAATTTTTAATGTTCAGTATGTATTTGAATAATGATGGCTGGTTCCTTTACTTGAAAGCTCAGATTTGATTATCATAATTTGTTTTGTTTACAGAGTTTGAAGTTCACTGTATTATTATTATTATTATTATTATTATTATTATTATTATTATTATTCACACCTTACAGATGTTGATCTACCTTTACCATTGCACACACCATTTACCATTTTGTAAAATTTTATTTATCAAGTTTAAGAGTCTTTTTACACTTATGTTTATTTTATCATAAAGATGAGATATTTTGTTTAAATATTTTTGTTTTTGACTATTAAAACTGTTTGCCTTTAGTTATTTTGGTAAATAAAAAAAATCCTAATATTCCTAAATGTATTGTTAAAAAATATTCAATAATAATCGATATCGAATAATATGAATAATTTTTCGGGACAATTGTTTGTGCAATATCGCCCAGCTCTACTATTATGTTTAAAATTAGTTAAACAGCCTTAAACAGCATTCGGGAAATATAAAAAAAGTACAGGTAAAAACTGACTTGACTTGATCTTCTCTATGTTTGTCTTCTCTTTTAATTTTTGTAGAAATAAAATTTTTTTTTTTTAAATGTCTGTCAAAAAAAAAGGAAATTAAGTCATGGTTTACTCATCATTTGTATTGCTGTATCTGCTTTTTTCATACCATAAAACAAGAACAAAAATATCACATCACACATAACGAATCACTTATACCATCACACATTATCTATCCCACCATCACACATCAGCAGTGTTGGGCATGTTCCTTTAAAAGAGTAATTTGTTATAGTTACCAGTTCTTACAAATAGTAACAGAGTTAAGATCTGATAAATACTGTATATGAAGCTCCAAGAACAGTTTTGTATGCCCAAAACTGTAAAAACATTTAATCTATAATCTATGATTATGGAACAGTCTGAAAAAGATTCTCAAACAATGTCAGTATATTAATTCAATAAAATTCAATTCACCTTTATTTATATAGCGCTTTTACAATGTAGATTGTGTCAAAGCAGCTTCACATAGAAGGTCATAATAAATTGGAACAGTGTAGTTCAGTGTTTAAGTTCAGTTCAATTTAATCAATTTAAAAAGTTAAATTAATCAATTTAAAATCTTATACATATTATTAAATAAATCTAATGATTAATAAAAGTGATTGAATAAGAACAAAATGAGAAAGGTATGATGAAAATTCAATTAATGGCTGTTTGCAATGTATTTTTTGGGTCTGTAATATGGAAATGAACAAATGGATTCAAACATACAATATGTCAAAGATGCCAAAAGGATAAAATATGTCTCATCTTAAAAGAAGAGATTAGTAAAAGAAGAACTAAATTGAATAAATGAATGATGTGTGTGATAACGGGGTGGGGAAAATAATACGCTTGTGCTTTATCCTGCTTTATTTCAACCCTGTTCCAAATAAATATATGTTCCAAATAAATAAATAAATCAAATCAAAAGAAGTATAAAAGTGCTCTCAGGCGAATGGAACGACATGAGGTTAAGTAATGATTTACAGAATTTTCATTTTTGGGTGTGCTCACTCTTTAAACATATCAATGCTTGTTTGATTATCTCAAAATTAGAATTAAACTTAAATCCTTTAATCATCGTAGTACCAAAGTGTGTGATTCCTCTCTTCTCAGTCCCCGGCCGTGGTAATCCCCACTGCGTCATTAACCCGACTGCCGACACGTCTGCGGCACAGTGAAGAGAGACTGGATCAGGAGCTGGAGAAAGTCTTCATACATCAATCACCAGTTCACCACTGTGGAGTAAGTTTATTTACACTTTTCACCATCTTTACAGATTGTGAAAGTCGCTAACACAGGGTTCCCACGGGTCATGGAGTTTCTGGAATGTCGTGGAACTTTAAAAGGTTGATTCCAGGCATTAAATGTCAGGGAGTTTTTAAAAAAAAAATTTTTTAAATCATTTTACATGTTACTTGCCTTTTTTTTTAGCATGTTGTTTAGGTTGTTTTCCATCTATTGTTATGGTTATTTTTTCTAGTTTATTCCTTTCCTGCTTAAACCCTAGAACCGGAAATATTGTACTGCCTGAAGCAAGGTCATCAGAATAAAGGTCATCAGAACAAACAGCATTATGTTAGGGATAAAGTACATCCAGAAGGCTGTTATCACAAACTAAAGCATGACAGGCTTATCGGTAACCTAAGATGAATCTGAGGGCTGTTGTAGAAGACTGAATGACTTTATTCAACTAAATCAACTGACCTGGATGTACTTTATCACACTTATTAGATTCAGATTCATTTGGTTCATTCTTTAACCAAACACAAAGCTGACATAATCGATAACAGCTGAATAGAGCTTATGAAGCATTCACTAACCTGCGCAATATTCAGTCACAAAATGTTAATGTAAAAATGTAAATGTAAAGCTGACAGAAATGAAACCGGTTGAATGGAGAACAGACTAACCTAAATTATTATTCATTCACAAGACGGCAACTAACTGTCATATATGGCAGCGTGACAGACAAGCAGATATAAATGAATGTGGTTGTGAGTATATGGATATTAACATAAGGCTGACGTTCAAGGTGTTTCGTAGTTCTGTGTTATTCAATGGTTGCTATCTAGGAATAACATACCTTGGAATGTTAAGACTGACCAATTAGAATTGAGGATTCCAGACAGCTGCCTAAGTAGCTATATATTGTAAGCTACATATAGTTTAAGTCAGAATTATTAGCTCCCCTCAATTATTGGCTGCCCTGCTTTAATAACTCATTTCTAATAACTGATTTATTTTATCTTTGCCATTATGACAGTAGATAATATTTTACTAGATATTTTTTTAAGAGGTAACTAGATTAACTAGGCAGGGTAATTAGGGTAATTAGACAATTTATTATACAACGATTGTTTGTTCTGTAGACTATTGGAAAAATAGCTTAAAGGGGCAAAGCATTTTTAGCTTAGAATGGTGTTTAAAAAAAACTGCTTTTATTCTAGCCGAAATAAAACAACTAAGACTTAAAAATATTATCAGACATACTGTAAAATTTGTGTATAAGGTTGAATTGACTAGAATCTTATTAGAATCTTAATAACTAGAAAGTTATTCTATAATATTAATGCAACATTAATTAAAACAATAAATAATAAATATTTACACAAATCTACTAGTTTAAATACACAACTAACTTTTTACTGAGGCTAAAAAACTGTCAAGACAGTAATTAGCTTGTAACCCAATTAGCTACATTTTCGATTCTGTTAGCAACCACTTATGCTACCCAACACAGGCTACACTTAAAAATATGACTTATTTGTTTCATTTCGGCTAGAATAAAAGCAGTTTTTAATAAAAAGAAAAATTAAGGTCAAAATTATTACTTAAAAATTATTACCAGAAAAAAAATGTGGAGTGTTGCGAATAGTGTGGACTCCACAGAGATTGAAAAGGCCCTTGATAATAACAACAATAAAATGTCTCAACAAGTCATGACAGTTTTGTTATTTAACTTAACTTTATATCAAAAATGTCTGAGTATAAACAAGTAAATAAAGCCTGATAATGGATAATTAATGGATTTATTTAAAGTACAGTTTTTTTCCACTCCATGCTCAAAACAACCTATTTTCTCTGTACATTAGATAATGGAAATTGCAGCTTTTTAGTCAATGAAAGTCAGAGAAATGTCAGGGAATTTGACACTTGGTTTAGTTACAAACTTCTAAAATTGAGAAACTTCATGTAATTATGTTTTAGTCATTTGAGGTTCCTGATGGCCACAGAGCTCCTGTCCCGCACCTGAACTTCATGAGTGAGTTTCAGATTGACTCTTCTTGTGTAGTTTCACAATCCTCGTCCTCCACATCCTGCTCTCCACAGCGCCCTCTAGACCTCGACACTGGTAAGTCTCCCTTTTTAATTTGACTGCAGAATATTGTACAAATTTTCATGTCAAAATATTCCTGCCCTGTGAAAATACATGACGAGTTTGAAAAACAAAATAAACAAATACTGAATTGCAACTCAAATCTGTAAAGTAACATTCAAAAAGTTACCCTTGTAATTAATGTATGCCATAATTTCACATGGATACATTATATAGTCTCTATTCAACCAATTTTTGAAATGAAAAATATACATTGTACACTCATTAAATGTAGCTTATATTGTTATTTTTGTATTATTAACTGACTGACAACTTTTGTGATTTGTTGTATGGGATTCAGTCACAGATTAAACATTTTAATTAATTTAATTTATCTTAAAGCCCTTTGTGACTGCTCTTTCTTCATTCAGTGAAAATTACAAAACTTTGACGGTTTCTTTCAGGATTATTTGGTGTTTTAAATTTATAACAAATTTGTAACAAAATATAAAACAAGAATTAAGTGTTTAGGATGTAATGAAGACAACAACTCCCATGATTCCGCACTCAGTCATCAAACTATGCTTCTGTTTCTTATGAATATTTGCCCTCTAGTGGTGAAAATTGTGTACTGTGCATTTAAGGTACACCTAATAAAATAATTTTTTTTTTGACTGAGCTCAGGAAATCTCCCTGGTTTCAGAAAACTTAATCTGTAATCCTGCTTTTTTCCCTCTGTTGAAGAAGTCAACTCGTGTATCCTGATGCTGTCCTCTTCGCCACGGCCTAATAACAGCTACTGCTTTCAGAGAGATCCTCCAGAGGGCTGCGAGAGAATCCGAGTGTGTGAAGAAAACTTGTAAGTAGGCTGCCATTGTTTGTCATTTGTTGTGTGTTCATTGTGTTTAGAGGTAAAAGCAGCAGTTTAGTGGTTCAATTACAGTATACCGTCAATTAGCCTTTTCAAACTTCTATTTGCCCTCAAACTAAATGGAAATAAGAACTTCATTTGAAGTGTTCTTGGGTAGTGTTGTCAAAAGTATCAAGTTTAGTACCAATCAGTACTGAAATGAAGACTTGCGAAGAGATGATGCCAAGGGATACATAATCCTGGATCAGGCCGTATCCTGAGCAGATGCTAAGGCAGTCATGGAGGAGTGGAGAGCATGAGACTGATTCCTGAAAGACCCCTGTGACAGACGAGTCTCCGCATAGATTCTGTGGGCCTGTCTGAACCAAACCTGTCAACATTGGGATGTGAAAATAAGGGATATGCCCATTATAATAAGGGATACCCCCCCCTCTTAAAAAAAAAAATAGTATTAGCAGAAAAAAATTAGCAAGCTGTTTAGCTTATAGCTAATAGCTATTACAATGAAATGGAATTAAGTTAATAAATCTTAATCTTTTCCTTACTGTATAATACACATTCTGTTAAAAAGAACAACAAATGAATCTTATTTATTTAGATTTTTGATTACATTAAATAACTGGTGTCCCTTTAAAACTGTTCTGTGTATATGTCTGTTCAAACACGCACCCAAAAGTGAGTACAGAATCCGTTAGGGAAACAGCCTCCACTTATCACTATGGAGCATGTTAGCTGACAGTCACACAACAATATATGGCTGTTTAGAGGATTGCATAAGAGGGGTGATGGCACCTGTAATGAAAAGGAAAGGGAATCCCGCCATTTTAAATATTTATTTTAGTGTTTTCATGGCTAAATAAAATGAAAGTATAGAACAGATTTACATTTAAGAGCAAGAGGCGGCCCCTGTTGGTTCGGCGGTATGAATTGCATATAGAGAGGATCATCTCTTAAATGTTTTTTGCCAGCCTTCAAAGAAAGACTGAAAATACGGCAAAATACCTTTACGGAATGATATCGGAATAGGACTGTAAAATACCCAAGAATCCTGGGAAAAATGGTTGGGTTAACAGGTATGATCTGAACACCTGTCGGTGACCTACTCACACATGCAGCTTCTCCTCGATAGATTTCCAGTGTTCTCCAGCCTCCGCCGCCTACACTGCAGCTCTATACAAGAAGTCTGAGAATAAATGGTCGTGCCCATCTGAGCCTTGTTTCTCTCAAGGTTTTTTCTCCCTCACTTTTGTCAATTGGTGAAGTTTTGTTCCTCGCTTGTGGAGCTGCGCATCGATGGATTTGCTCCTCAGTCTTTGGACTTTAAGCAATGAAAATTAATCCACACTGAACTGCACTAAACTGAACTTCAACTTCTACGTTAAGCTGCTTTGACACAATCTACATTGTAAAAGCACTATGGAAATAAAAATGAATTTAATGAAATTACGTTGAGAATAAAAAAGGTTGAATTCTATTGAGCTTTTGAACTCAATGGCCAATTGGCAATTGGCAAAATGCTCGAATGTTAGCGGGAAATGGACATTTAAAAAGTATTTGTACCAGTTAGTGCCAACACTATACTGGGGTCTTAATTCCCATCGTTCCACCTTACGTCTTTAGTCATTTTCTCCCTTTTTTTCCAATTCAGCCCTTCATGTTTGGAGCAAGTGTGCATGTCTTCCTGCCCCGACCCCAACAAAGTGAACTTCACCACACACACGGGCTCCGCCTTCTGCCCTGTCAGTCTCCCAAAGCCCCTCCTCCCTCCAGTGGACTTTCTGATCTGCAGCCTTTCAGTTTCTCCAGGCTCCTGCTGGGTTGGACAGTGAACACTTCCTAAGAAACCTGTTTGTAAGAGGTGAAATGGCTGTATCTTTAAAAAGCACTGCTTGTTGCATTTGCTTCAGCATCTGACCTTGATTTAAAAAAAAAAAAAAAGGACATTTTTCATCGTTGGTCAGTGAAAACCTTACACATTTGTTTTCTAGTTTAAAAAAAGTATTAGTGATAAGAGAGAGTACTGGCTTTCTTTATATGGGTCACAGTGTGAGTGGTGAAGATGGCTTATGGTTAAACAATTTAGGCAGTTATTTTCTTAAGGAAATAGCAGTTCTTAGACAATGAATGTTACATTTTTGCTATATAAAGATGAATGGTACTGTAAATGCAATGTTTGGATTTTAAATCAGTGTTAAATCTGTTACAGTGAATGAACAAATAGACAAATTTAGCTTTAGTTTTACATAAAGTATTTAGCTTTGTTTAGTTCCTTTATTGAAGAATGTATTGTGGGGGGGTTTCCACAATTATAGGCCATTATTCAAGTTTTTGGATTTGCATTTAAGTTTGGCTAATGAATGTTTACATGGTGTATGTTGTTTTTTTATTCTCCTAAAGATGAATCTGTACAGTATGTATGATAGTTGTTTGTTAAGATAGTACTGTTTGCACGTTTTCGCTAAACATAAGCTATAGAATGTGGATGGTGCCATATTATTTGACTTGCATTGTTCGACATGCACATGATTATTGGTTGTTTTAGAATGCTTTGGTTGAAATGTTTTGTTCAGATGATGAATGAGTTTCAATCGGGAAGTAGAATACTATATGCTGACTGAAGATGAAGGTTTTTTTGTACTTTTATTGTCATGCATCACTTTAAATATGTTTGTCTGCAGTATGTTTTGGCACCCATAAAGGAGAAATGAGCAACATGAGTGACTGATTTTCCATTGTGATGTTTTGATGGATGACAGACTGTCAAGAAATGGTAAGGTGCTGATCATCCGGGCTGGTTGCACCAGGAGTGCGTAAGTTAAAACGTAGTCTAGTTGTGACTTAAAGGGACACTTACAACTTGCACAGGATGGGTTATGTTCTGGTTTAGCAACTTCAGATTCAACCAAATCAACTTTGAACAAAGTGACCCATCTCTGATGATACAACATTAAAAAAGTAAAACAATAATAATAATAATAATAATAATAATAATAAAGATCGCTACATACTAAATCACTTATCAACAGATAAATTGTCTTTATTTTAATGAAGATTTTAATAAAGAATAATCTTATTATTTTAGATTATTTATATAATTATAATATCTGTAATCCATTGCACAACAAATTTCAGTTTAATATCAGTTTTTTTTCTTTAGGAATATTTAATTATATAAGAATGTACAAATATCCAGTTGGGCTGCACTGTGACTCAGTGGGTAGTGCTGTCGCCTCACAGCAAGAAGGTTGCTGGTTCGAGCCCCGGCTGGGTTAGTTGCCGCTGTGATGGCCACAATTGAATAAAGAGACTAAGCTGAAAAGAAAATGAATGTATTGATGAAATATACAGTTGGAATTGTAAGCTTTACTGATTTTTGACAGCTTTAAAGATATTATATATGAGCTTAGATTATTTTGTGTCTCAGTATATCTAGTGTACACTGTAAAAAAAATCTGTTACTTGACAGTTTTGATATTTAGTGATTTACAGGTGTTTTCCATTTATTTATGGTTGTGAATTGCATTATGTGATGTTAATCTCTGTTCTTTCAACATTTGATGTTGAAAATTCAACTCAACAGTTTAACAAAGTGACTTTTATTGACAGGTTTTTATTATTTAGGTTTTTGGAATAATATAATGCGTACAAATTAATATGTAGAGAAATAAGTCTGTAAAATAACAGAAAATGTACTGGGAGTTTATTACAAAGTTCTTGTACTGTTATATACAACACCAAACCAGACAAAATATCACTGTTAAGCTATTAAAAATGTCAATAAAAGTCTTTTTTTTTCAAACTTTTCAAGGTTAAAAGTTGTTGGAAGAAAGATCAAGGTCTCATAATGCAATTTAAATGTGTAAGTAATTGAAAAAAAATAAACATGAATCACAAAATACTGAAAACTGCTAATTTACAGATATTTTACAGTGTACTTATTATAAACTGTACAGATTAAGTTCACTTTTTTTTCCAGCTTTTTTCACGTTGCTGTTAAAATAACTTAAATTCTCTGCATTTTTAAAAACCTTTTCGTCATGAGTAGTTAACAGTTTCTTTGTATTTCAAGGTGTGTTTAATTGGCTGCTTGTTGCTGATGTCCCGCCTTCATGTGCACATGCTCCTGAACTCAGGATCAAAGCTCGAGTTAACAGAGGAAGTTGATGATCAGCGTCACTGTACTAAAACAGCCTGATTGCACTGGTTTGGCTTTTTCCATTTTCCATAGTTTGTTCAGTCACCATCATGGTGCAGGCCCAAGTAATAATTCCAATGTAAACTGCAAAGAGACCATGTCGCTCAAAATAAATCCCAGTGGGCAGGGCTCTGGCTAGTTTGCTGCCCTAGGTAAGATTTTACCCTGTAAAATTACAGCCCGTTACAGCAATAATCATTGTGTTTACACATTTATAGAGAAATTACACAGCATTTTACACATACCATGATAAAATAAATTAAAATGACACCAAAGAGAATTATTGCAGATTGTTACCATTTCTTAACGATAGCATATATGCTAACCAGAACAAACGTAACATTTGTAACAGCATTTATTTTAGTTTTTTATTAAATATAAATCTTATTTTAAATTGTTTTCAGTCAAAGTACACTTATGTTTATGCTGTCTAAGTCTAATAAACAAAAAACCGCAAGAATGATCAAATCTGGTATTCCTGGTCCTATTTAAACACTTAGCAAACAGTAGCCCCCTGCATGGGGTAAGAATAATTTCAGGCTTGACTTTGTCATTGTCACTGCCTACAGTACCTAAACCATGTTCAACCCTTCAGAACAATGATGATCTTTGGAGAAATTGGCCTCTTTTACAGCAAGATAATACGCTTTGCCAGCCTGCACATCCTGTTTAGGAATGGACTAATGCAGGGGTCACCAACCTTTTGGAAACTGAGAGCTACTTCTTGGGTACCGATTAGTGTGAAGGGCTACCAGTTATTAAATAACACATTTTTCTTAATTTACTTTTGATTAAATGTTATTTTTAATATTTAATAATATTCATCTATGTGAAGACATTGATCATGTTAATGATTTCTCACAGTAGTTGTCAACAATGATTTAACAAGTTAGATAAATATCAATATGCAACACTTCATTTGTCTGAAATTGTTTTTAAAGTTTTTTTTAAATATATAACTTAAAGTAATTTTCAAATTTACACCAATGCAAGTGTGATTTAAAAAGAATATCTATAAAAACATTAGATGCAGCTTACTCGTATGTGGTGCTATGGTGAGCTATTTTTAGAACAGCCCCGCGGGCAACTCGTGAACCTGGCGGGCTACCTAGTGCCCATGGGCACCATGTTGGTGACCCCTGGACTAAAGAATAGAAGTTTAGGGCATGGATGGTGGACTCTTGTCAAGGAGAGCCACTGAACTCTAAACCCATGTTTTCTGCATGCTTGCTGGAAATTATCAAAAGTTTGATTTTAGATTGAGTTAAACCCTATAGAATACTGGCCAGGACAACAGCTGCCTCTCACTAGTTTAGGGTGATACCCTGGTCTCCCAATTCCCATATAACTACTTAAAGAGCATCTGTGCACAATGACTTGGATCCATGGAGAGTCCTACAGGATTAATCTTGGTGTCACCTTCATGGGCCTTGGCTCATCCATGCCTCCGTTGGTCGTCGCAGATTTGCCAATATGTTGAGTCCTAGGGTTGCCAGGTTTTCACAACAAAACTTGTCCACATCCAAATGTAACCACAGATTCAGGCTTCTAGAGCACCTGAATCTTACAAATGTGCACCTAATCTGTTTCAATATTATAACACAGCTTTTATAATTTGGGGAATATTCATTTGGTGAAGTAAAATAATTCAAAGTAACCATATATGCTAAATATATTTGATGCAATATGTGAACTCTTTACCCTGCAGATGAAAATAAAACACACACCAAGTGGTAGAAGTTGGTATGAAACTGAAGTTATGATTGTGTTTTTTTCAAGTGGTGCTCACTGCAGAGCCACTTGGGCAGAGCTGAGCTCCAGCAAGGTGGAGTTTGAGGTCTAGCTCCTTCTTCCTTGCCATTCTTCTATGAGTGGTGTCGTGTATAACAACTTATAGGATGAGGAACGAGAGCTCAAGCTCCCCCTCGCTGGAGCTCAAGTGGCACTGCAGGAAGCAGTGTCCCTTTTTTTTTTTTTTTTTTTTTTTTTTTTTTTTTGCTGTGACATGTTTACTTAAAATGGTTTTTGAAATGAGATGGATAAAAATTAGGGTAATGAGTGATATTGTCCTTTGAAAACCAATTGGATCTTTGAAATATGGGCATTGCTAAGAAAATGCAGGAAGATTGACAATTGGATGAAGACAGGTCAGAAATGAGACACACCTCGATATCCCCTCTCTAAAGGCATTCGATGTGACCAGAAGTGAAGAAAAGAGGAAAATTTCTCATTGGGAGGTTAGGTTCTGGTTTAGATTAAACATTTTTCACTGCTATGCCATCATACATTGGGAAAATTACAAATAGAAGAAGGCTTTAAAACAAGTTTTTTATTTATTTAAGGGTTTCCAAATTCTGACTGAAAAAAGTTGAAGGCTGGCCAGTTTTTTTTTATTTGCCTACAGGGCTATACTTTATTTAAAACAAGTTTTATCAGATTCCTATTTTTTTTTAATAATGGATGATGATAATATTTCATATTTCTTTATTATTATTTTTTAAAAAGCTAATCATAACATTTATAAAACAAATGTATTTACAGTTTAAATGCAAGCTTGTCAATAAATACTTCACAATAAAATGGTATGGTAAGCACTTGACAAAATTGTAGGAAATATTTTTAGTAAATCAAAAAATGTGGTTATAATCACCATCCGACAAGCTAATCAATTAATTAAAATGTCACTAAAGTGCAGTATTTAGACCTCGCATGAGGCGAATAACTGCATAAAAGGTCAAATTTTCACTAGGCTGGTGACGGGCCTGATTCAGGGGTGCCGCTAGTGAGGAAACCTTCGATTCTAAGGGCCGTTGTTTTTTGGGGCCCCCCAGAGATATTATTAGCGGCCCACGACCCCACTTATATATATATATATATATATATATATATATATAGCAAATGCGGATTTTAAAAGTAGCTGCGTGAAAACCACAGACTTGGCAACCCAGCAAGGACCACCAGCATTAGGCAAGTGAAATAATGTTATGACTAATCGGAGAGTCATTCCACTAATCGCAGTATAAAAATAAATGTTCGCTTTATTCAAATAAACTAAGCATGTCATCTCAAATATTTAGTTTTTGATTTTGTAAATTGCCTAACATCCGTTATCTCAGTCTCGAGCTTTGAACGTGAGGCAGAAACACCCGCCCCCGTGTTCACACGGAACCGCGCCGCACAGGCATCCCATCACACTCCACTCAGAAAAAAACGGTGTTCAGATCGCGCTTCATTCCTGCTGTACAGATACATTTTGGGTGTCAAACATGCTTGCAACCGTGATGAAACAATTGAAAAGCCATCCGGCGGTAAGTATTTCAGATTCATCCTTTACCAATGATGGTCCTGTCAGTAAATGATGATGATTCATTCATTCTCAGATTAAGCCTCACAATCGTTTAAAGCAGTCGACTTGATCATATAAATTGTTATATTTTTTAAACAAGCTTCAATCTTATCCACTGATTACGGAATACTCTTAATATAACTCAATATGTTAAATTTATAAGGTAATTGAATGACTGCAGTGTAACCATGAGAAGGTAGGCTATCGTGTTATTTTACGTCACAAACAGTGATACTTGTCATTGTGTATGCTAAATATACCGGCTTTGCTCAAATGTTTTCATAGGCTACATGTGCTGTGAATTCTCCATATTACAGCAGTGTCTGAGCACGTACAGTCTTTGCACGTACGCCCGCTATAGGTCACCTATCTGTCACATTTATGGCTGTTGTGTTGTAGTGTTCAGTGCTGTCAAGGACGTTGAGGTTAAAGTGTACAATGTAGCTCTGCATTTTTCCTTTCATTTAGCGTGCCAGCTTTTCGTTGAGGTGTACTGTACAAGACTTAATCATGGATTGTATTGAAAATACAGTGACATATGCGAAGGAATGTTGAGGACATTTACGCAAATAAATAAAAATAAAAAACAATGTTATTCGGATAACCTTTATCACCTATTTTATTGCACAGTAAAATCTACAATTATGGAGTTTGTATGTACAGTGCTCAGCATATTTGAGTACACCCTATTTTGAAAATGAATATCTTTCTCCATTACTCAGTGAATATAGATGTATTTTGGCACATTTAAATAAAACCTATAAATAAAATCTAATAAATTCTAATAAATAAAATTTATTAATTCTATCTAATAAAATTTATTAAGATATATTTATTAAAATAATATTTTAGCCAACAAACATGTTTACAATTGAAATATTATATAATTAAATTCAAGCAGAATATTGCTAAATAAATTTCAACCAAAGTTTCGACAAACTTTTTCATATATTTTTTTGTTTCTTTTGATTTTGCCTCTTTTTTAAAAATTTGTATTTAATATTTTTTCTATAACAAATTTGAGTGTACCAGTTTTTGGACTGTTATCGTATGTTATTTTGTTAGATAAGCTTCAGATTTGGCTTCAGTACTGACTAATCTAGTGTATATGCACAAATATAATATTGTATAGCTTCCTATTAAAAATATGAATTTAAAAGAGAGATTTGTGAGGGGTGTAGTCATATTTGCTGAGCATTGAATACACAAACAAGAAATCGGCTTTCTGCTTGTTAATAGGGAATATATTTTGTTGCAACAAAACAGTTTTATTAAACGGTTATATTGCTTAAAACAAAATTTTGCATATTTATAGTAAGATTTAAAATCAAATGAGGTCATTTATATGTTTCTCCTGATTTTTCCTCTTTATTAAGGAGTTGTTTAATATGTTTCCCTATAATAATTTGTATTCTATTTTAGTTTATATTAGGCCTATCAAATTTCATAGCTGCAAGAAAAGATAACAATATTTCTGAAATGTTATTAATCAAAGTAAATCAAACACAAACATTCAACTGGACTAGAGATGCAGTTTGATGTCGTCAAATTAAATGTTTCTGATATCCTTTGATAAATTCATTTACTACATTAATTGATTAATGTATTTTTTAATTGTTTGATTATTATTAATAACTGGCGACACGGTGGCTCAGTGGTTTGCACTGTTGCTTCACAGCAAGACAGTCGCTGGTTCATGTCCCGACTGGGCCAGTTGGCATTTCTGTGCAGAGTTTGCATGTTCTCCCTGTGTTGGCGTGCAGTTTCCTCAGGGTGCTCCGGTTTCCCCCACAGTCCAAATACATGTGCTATAGGGGAATTAGATAAAATAAATTTGTGTGTGTGTGTGTGTGTGTGTGAATTAGTGTGTGTGTGTGTGTGAATTAGTGTGTGGATGTTTCCCGGAGATAGGTGGCAGGTGGAAGTGCATTCGCTGTGTAAAACATATGCTAGGTTGGCAGGTCTTTCCACTGTGACAACCCCAGAAGAATAAAGGGACCAAGCTGAAGGAAATTATGAATAACGTGAATAATGTTGTTTGTTGGAGTGAATTAGCATTAAAAACATAATTATTGAATTGATGATTTGAACAAAGGGTTGCCAACATATTAGGGTGGTGTATATAGGCAGAATATTGTGTGTTTAATTCTATTGTTGTCCAATTTTGTCATGATTTTATCATTGATTTATATTTGTTCTCTTTTTAAAGCTGATTCCTCTCTTTATTTTCATCGGTGGTGGAGCGACCATGTCTATGCTTTACCTGGGCCGCCTTGCACTAAAAAACCCTGACTGCTCGTGAGTAACCTTTACATCTTTCTCATCCATTATTCTTTAGTTGGAAAACTGACTGAAATCTGTCAACAGATGGGATCGCAAGAACAACCCTGAGCCATGGAACAAACTGGGGCCAAATGACCAGTACAAGGTGAAAGCAAACTTCTTTTTTGGGCTATGTACTTTGCTTCAATACCCTATTATATCTACAATTATAAATAGTCCCAAGTGTAATAATTAAATTTGACCTATTTGACCTCCCGCAGCTCTTCTCGGTCAACATGGACTACTCTAAGCTGAAGAAGGACAGGCCTGACTTCTAAACAGAGGCTAGTGAATCAGCTGGCTGAGTAAACTATGTGTGGCTATTTAAAGGAACACTCCACTTTTTTGGAAATAGGCTCATTTTACAACTCCCCTGGAGTGAAACAGTTGAGTTTTATACTTTTACATTCAGATGATCTCTGGGTATGGTGGGAGCACATTTAGCTTAGCTTAGCATAGGTCATTGAATCAGATTAGACCATTAGCATCTCACTCAAAAATGAGTGTTTAAATCATTTTCTTGTTTAAAGCTTGACTCTTCTGTAATTAAATTGTGTACTGACTAAGACTGAATGAAAATCAAAAGTAGCTATTTTCAAGGCTGATATGTCTAGGAGCTATACTCTCACTTTGGTGTAATAATCAAGGAACTACCATAGCTACAGCAGGCACATATTAAACACATTCTAAATGGTGTAGCGATTGGTGCTGGGGACTATTTCGAGGTACTGTGTAATATCACTGGTCTTTGGTCATTTTTGAGCGAGATGCTAATGGTCTAATCCGATTCAATGATTTATGCTAAGCTAAGCTAAATAATGCTCAAACCACACGCAGAGATGAGCTGAATGGATTCAAAAATAGTAAAACTCAACTCTAGGAGAGTGAAAAAAGTGGAGCGTTTCTGTAACAACACATCAGACACCGCAACTCTTCTTTGAATTTCAATCTCTGGTTTAAAATGCTCAAGAAACCGAAGCTATATAATATATAATTAGCTATATAATTTGAATGTCTAATCTTTAATCGGAAATAATATTTTGTACAGCTCTATCAATATCAATTATATACCATTATCCAAATAAACAAGACATACAGCAATAATAGAAGTGTATGGCGTGTTTTTATTTTTACCGATTATAAACTTATATGACTTTTTTTCTGTTGAACACAAAACAAAATGTTCTGAAGAATCTTATGAAAAGAAAAACAATACAGACATAGCAGGAACAAGAATTCTATGGATGTCGATGGAAGTATTTCCAGCATTCTCCAGCATATCTTGGAACACCGGAAAGAAACTCAAACAGCTTCAGTAGAAGTGAGGAGTGGTCAGAGGCGGACTGGGACTAAAAATCAGCCCTGGCACTGTAGCCACACCAGTCCACATTACCACACCGACAAAGCCCCATCCACGGACACGCACATTCACTACTTATATTGTTGTATAGATGGTGAAATAATGTAAGCAGTACCATATTTTACGCAGCGGATGTCCTCCAAAGCATTGGGAAACCCCTATACACACACATTCACATACATGCACCACAGACAATTAGGCCTACCCAATCCACCTATAGCACATGTGTTTGGACTTGTAAGGGAAACCAGGAGGAAACCCACGCGAACATGCAAACTCCACACAGAAACACCAACTGACCCAGCCGAGGTTTGAAACATTGACCTTCTTGCTGTCGATGTTGTCCTCACGAAACTATTTCAGTTAATTTTATGCATTTGGCAGCTTCTGATTTTAGAGCAATTTTTGGCTTTCTCTGGGCTTTTCGGCACCGCCTTTCCTTTTTTTACGGTCCATCTCTGACAATTTGCTTGTGTTGCACTTACTGTTTGTTTGACATTCTCGCCAAATTTTGATTACGTCCACGTAACCTCTGATTGGGTCGGCCCATCTTGAAACCAGTCGGCTATTGCCGATTGGGCCAATGCTTAACATTTATTATCATTATTATTATAATTATTATTATTATTATCATCATCATCATTATCATAATATTCACATCTTACAAGAGATAAAAGCTGCCTGCATGTAAAAACAATACATATAAAAAACGTTATTAAAAAAAATAGCATACCGGCCCACATTTAAAAAATGGTCCGGCCCTTCTGGCATTTGCCAGAATTGCCAGATGGCCAGTCCGCCCCTGGGAGTGGTTAAATAATGGCGGGATTTTCATTTTGTGGTGAACTCTAACTTGAAAAGACACTCAAAAATTTCTAATCGCTTCATTAGGTGGCGCCATTTACTCAAAAATCACACGGGTTATCTTTCAAAACTGCTGATTAACTTTAAGGATCTTCCAGAAGAAAATACTCCAAGGCTGGTGATCAGTTTACTCAGACTTTAAGAAACTCTTATGTCTAATTCGATTTCAAGCAATTTAAGGTAATAATAAAAAAAACTGAAAAATATAAGTCATAAAATTAAATATAAAAACGTTTTATTAAAGTTAAAGAAGTCTTAGATTTGGATATTGTGATGTAGCCGAATGTTCCCTTTTTACACATTTAAACACCAGTAGTGGTGATTAATTTAAATAAATTGTTGAACATACTAATAAAAGCTAAATAATTTCCATTTGCAGTAGCTACATCAGTTTCAGAACAGATCTGTAAATAGCACACATTTATGCTTTTAATGTTGGTATGACAGTTTTTACTTTATTTGTAATATTTTGCATCTCTTTTATGAATGAGCATCTGGAACTGTAAACTAAACTAAAATTGTAGAAAATATTTCACTTAGAAATTGCAAGACAATTTCACGAAAGGCAAAGGGACCTTGAGTAAATGCACTCTAACAACAACAAAGAAATGCAATGTAGCACAACAAACGCATTTGTAAATGAATTATATATATATATATATATATATATATATATATATATATATATATATATATATATATATATATATATAAACAAACAAACATGCATTATGTAGATGTTTTTTTTTTAACTCTTGAAGGACGCATTAGTAAATAATAACTTTAATCAATGCAGTATTTCATTTGTGCAAAGTGTATGCATGTACATTTGAAGTCAGAATTATTAGCCACCCTTTTTTCTATTTTAAACATTTCCCAAATGATGTTTAACAGTATGAAATTCCCAAATGAAATTTTCACAGTATGTCTGATAATATTTTTTCTTCTGGAGAAAGTCTTATTTGTTTTATTTCGGCTAGAATAAAAGCAGTTTTTAATTTTTTATAAAACATTTTAGGGTCAATATTAGCCCCTTTAAGCTGTTTTTTTGTGTGAAAGTCTACAGCACAAACCATCGGTATACAATAACTTGCTCAATTACCCTAACCTGCCTAGTTAACCTAATTAACCTAGTTAAGGTTTTAAATGTCACTTTAAGCTGTATAGAAGTGTCTTGAAAAATATCTAGTAAATATTATTTACTGTCATCATGGCAAAGATAAAATAAATTCAAGTTATAAAGTTAAGTAAATATAGAATATAGAAATGAGTTATTAAAACTATTATGTTTAGAAATCTTGAAAAAAACCTCTCTGTTAAACAGAATTGGGGGTGGGGGGTTAAACGGGGGCTAATAATTCAGGGTGGGGGCATGGGCTAATAATTCTGACTTCAACTGTTCATTGCTGACTGAAAATAATCCTTGTAAAATAATTATTCTGTGTAATTCTCCTGTGAAGTGAAATAATCATCTACATCAAAAACACTTCTGATGATGAAATATAGGCAATAATAGTGTCAGAGAGGAAGCCTGATGTTCTGGAATGCCTCAGATCTGTAAGTCATGCATGAGAGAATGACCTCAGATGTCTCCTTATCTATTTAGGTCAACTTCACAACACTACACAATCACACTTGCACATCAGGGGTGTCCAATCCTCTACTGGAGAACCAAAATTCAATGGTCTCCTGATCCAACAGTTCCAGCAAGCCAAAAGAGCAGTGTATATATTCATTCGTTCATTTTCTTGTTGGCTTAGTCCCTTTATTAATCCAGGGTCACCACAGCAGAATGAACCGCCAACTTATCCAGCACGTTTTTCCAGCTGCAACCCATCTCTGGGACACAACCATACACACTTATACACTATAGACAATTTAGCCTACCCAATTCACCTTCAGCACATGTTTTTGAACTTGTGGGAGATACCGGAGCACCTGGAGGAAACGCACGCCAACACGGGGAGAACATGCAAACGTCACACAGAAACTCCAACTGACTCAGTCGTGGCTTGAATCAGCGATCTTCTTGCTGTAAGGCGACAACGCTACTCACTGCGCCGCACTGTAATCCATACATACAGTACAAAGGAAAAACGTAAATGTTATGTGTAATAAAAAAGAAAAGACACAGAAAAAGAAGTATTGAACACATGAACAGAGAGAGGTACAAAGAGTCATAGAAAGCCCAGACAGCAGCTGAAATCTCAGTAGTTATTCAGCAAACGTTTTCAGTCTGAAGATGAAGATGATTTTTTATTTTTCAGAAGTGAACACGCTGTTGTTATGTTGTTGAAAATAAATACAAACTTGTCCAAAACATGCCATCTGTCTAGCTATTTCTTGCAAAAAAAGGTACAAATTACATTTTAATTTAAATAGGAAAATTCCATTTGTCGTTTAAAGGATAAAACAATTTGTGTTTTACTCAGCCATATAACTATAAACATTTTCCACGGTACATTATGATAACAAAACATGCAGTTTTCGTACTGAGTATCACCCCAATTACAGCATTTATTTCTGGGAGAGTATTTATAATGTCTTTGGACTTGTGGGGGAAGCCAGAGCACCCGGAGGAAAACCCACGCGAATGCAGGGAGAACATGCAAACTCCACACAGAAACGCCAACTGACCCAGCTGAGGCTCGAACCAGTGACCTTCCTGCTGTGAGGCAACGGCACTACCTACTGCGTCACCAAGTGTGCCGCAAGCCTACGTTTGAGTGAAGGTTTCGGCCGTTAGATCGCCCCCTGGGGGCTGGCTGCAGTACAAGTCATAAAGCCCGCCTCCTCCGTGTTAATGAAGGAGACTTGAGCCCAAATAAAAAAAATTATTACACTTGCAATAAAATGTCCCGAAAGATAGTTCTGGTCGATTAAGGCACTGATTATTGTGCTGAAATAGGTGCAGATCTTCATTTTTGTAAACAGTTTGTTTTTAGCAGTAATTTAATGCTGGGGGTGTCATCGTGATTGACAGCTGTGATTGACAGTTTCTCAAAGCGCGGCGTCTGAGCTTCGGCAGGAGACTGAAATGTTATTATTCGATTTCTGTGTTATTTTACCATGACAAAATGAGTTCAGCAGTAAACTATAGTTTCTGACATACATGATCCTGGTGGAAAACTGTTTATTCGCTAAGTTCAGGGCTTTTTTCGGGCTTTATTAGTTTGCTGATACACGCCTAGCCACCCAGATAGCAAAACACAGTTCCGGCTAGATTCTCGCCTGCCGGAGACTTATCTCTTAGAGCTCAGACTGACTAATGTTACCTCTGCTGGACCTACTCCGGATGCCTGGACTCACTACCCAATTCCAGCCCGAGTCAATCGAGCCAGATGCGGCGGCCGAGCGAGCAGGCGCTGCCGCATGCGAGCCGGACTCAGCCCGCGACGCCGCGAGTAAGTTATGCGCTGCGGCCTGGAGCTGGCGTGATTGAATATATAAACCCCTCATATTTGTTAACGTTATTACATCCATTTGTGTTGATATGACAGCAAACGCATGCTGAGAAGTTCGGGGGGCGTAGTTGATTTTACATAAAGCGTTTGATTGGAAGCTCGACTCTGCTCATTTTCGCGGCTCCTCCTCTGGCTCCATCAGACAATCCTTCTGCGCATGTCTGGCTCCAATTTCAGCAGTCTTTTGCGACAGTTTGTGCCCAGCAAGCAGGCGTTTTGCCCTCAAGGCGTTCAATGGGAAAAAGGGCTGTCGCGTCGTCCATATTTTTTACAGTCATTGTGCGTCACCTAAAAATATTATATGTATGGCAAATTTATATCCTAAATAGAGGGTCTCATCACTACAATTTATTTGTGCCTTTTTATTTTTGACAACCAAAGAGTGCTTAAACGGTCGGACGTCTAAAAAGAAAGAG